ACCGAAAAACGTCAAAAAACGACATAGTATAGTATGGCAAAAAAGTCAAAAAAACGACATAGTATAGTATGGCTAAAAAGTGAAAATAACAACATAGTATAGTGAGGCAAAGAACAACATAGTATAGAATGGCATAAAAAGTGAAAAAATGACTTAGTATGGTAAGACCAAAAAACATCAAAAAACGACATAGTATAGTATGGCAAAAAAGTCAAAAAAACGACATAGTATAGTATGGCTAAAAAGTGAAAATAACAACATAGTATAGTGAGGCAAAGAACAACATAGTATAGAATGGCATAAAAAGTGAAAAAATGACTTAGTATGGTAAGACCGAAAAATGTCAAAAAACGACATAGTATAGTATGGCAAAAAAGTCAAAAAAACGACATAGTATAGTATGGCTAAAAAGTGAAAATAACAACATAGTATAGTGAGGCAAAGAACAACATAGTATAGAATGGCATAAAAAGTGAAAAAATGACTTAGTATGGTAAGACCGAAAAATGTCAAAAAACGACATAGTATAGTATGGCAAAAAAGTCAAAAAAACGACATAGTATAGTATGGCTAAAAAGTGAAAATAACAACATAGTATAGTGAGGCAAAAAACAACATAGTATAGAATGGCATAAAAAGTGAAAAAATGACTTAGTATGGTAAGACCGAAAAACGTCAAAAAACGACATAGTATAGTATGGCAAAAAAGTCAAAAAAACGACATAGTATAGTATGGCTAAAAAGTGAAAATAACAACATAGTATAGTGAGGCAAAGAACAACATAGTATAGAATGGCATAAAAAGTGAAAAAATGACTTAGTATGGTAAGACCGAAAAATGTCAAAAAACGACATAGTATAGTATGGCAAAAAAGTCAAAAAAACGACATAGTATAGTATGGCTAAAAAGTGAAAATAACAACATAGTATAGTGAGGCAAAGAACAACATAGTATAGAATGGCATAAAAAGTGAAAAAATGACTTAGTATGGTAAGACCGAAAAATGTCAAAAAACGACATAGTATAGTATGGCAAAAAAGTCAAAAAAACGACATAGTATAGTATGGCTAAAAAGTGAAAATAACAACATAGTATAGTGAGGCAAAGAACAACATAGTATAGAATGGCATAAAAAGTGAAAAAATGACTTAGTATGGTAAGACCGAAAAACGTCAAAAAACGACATAGTATAGTATGGCAAAAAAGTCAAAAAAACGACATAGTATAGTATGGCTAAAAAGTGAAAATAACAACATAGTATAGTGAGGCAAAGAACAACATAGTATAGAATGGCATAAAAAGTGAAAAAATGACTTAGTATGGTAAGACCGAAAAATGTCAAAAAACGACATAGTATAGTATGGCAAAAAAGTCAAAAAAACGACATAGTATAGTATGGCTAAAAAGTGAAAATAACAACATAGTATAGTGAGGCAAAGAACAACATAGTATAGAATGGCATAAAAAGTGAAAAAATGACTTAGTATGGTAAGACCAAAAAACATCAAAAAACGACATAGTATAGTATGGCAAAAAAGTAAAAAAAAATGTCATAATAAAGTATGGCTAAAAGATGAAAATAATGACATAATACAATGAAGCATGAAACAACATAGTATAGAATGGCATAAAAAGTGAAAAAATGACTTAGTATGGTAAGACCCAAAAACGTCAAAAAACGACATAGTATAGTATGGCAAAAAAGTCAAAAAATCGACATAGTAAAGTATGGCTAAAAAGTGAAAATAACAACATAGTATAGTGAGGCAAAGGACAACATAGTATAGTATGGCATAAAAAGTGAAAAAATGACTTAGTATGGTAAGACCGAAAAATGTCAAAAAACGACATAGTATAGTATGGCAAAAAAGTCAAAAAAACGACATAGTATAGTATGGCTAAAAAGTGAAAATAACAACATAGTATAGTGAGGCAAAGAACAACATAGTATAGAATGGCATAAAAAGTGAAAAAATGACTTAGTATGGTAAGACCGAAAAATGTCAAAAAACGACATAGTATAGTATGGCAAAAAAGTCAAAAAAACGACATAGTATAGTATGGCTAAAAAGTGAAAATAACAACATAGTATAGTGAGGCAAAGAACAACATAGTATAGAATGGCATAAAAAGTGAAAAAATGACTTAGTATGGTAAGACCGAAAAATGTCAAAAAACGACATAGTATAGTATGGCAAAAAAGTCAAAAAAACGACATAGTATAGTATGGCTAAAAAGTGAAAATAACAACATAGTATAGTGAGGCAAAGAACAACATAGTATAGAATGGCATAAAAAGTGAAAAAATGACTTAGTATGGTAAGACCGAAAAATGTCAAAAAACGACATAGTATAGTATGGCAAAAAAGTCAAAAAAACGACATAGTATAGTATGGCTAAAAAGTGAAAATAACAACATAGTATAGTGAGGCAAAGAACAACATAGTATAGAATGGCATAAAAAGTGAAAAAATGACTTAGTATGGTAAGACCGAAAAATGTCAAAAAACGACATAGTATAGTATGGCAAAAAAGTCAAAAAAACGACATAGTATAGTATGGCTAAAAAGTGAAAATAACAACATAGTATAGTGAGGCAAAGAACAACATAGTATAGAATGGCATAAAAAGTGAAAAAATGACTTAGTATGGTAAGACCAAAAAACATCAAAAAACGACATAGTATAGTATGGCAAAAATATTAAAAAACACGACATAATAAAGTATGGCTAAAAAGTGAAAATAACAACATAGCATAGAAAGGCAAAGAACAACACAGAATAGAATGGCATTAAAAGTGAAAAAATGACTTAGTATGGTAAGACCGAAAAATGTCAAAAAACGACATAGTATAGTATGGCAAAAAAGTCAAAAAAACGACATAGTATAGTATGGCTAAAAAGTGAAAATAGCAAAATAGTATAGTGAGGCAAAGAACAACATAGTATAGAATGGCATAAAAAGTGAAAAAATGACTTAGTAAATTTAAGACCAAAAAACATCAAAAAACGACATAGTATAGTATGGCAAAAAAGTCAAAAAACACGACATAATAAAGTATGGCTAAAAAGTGAAAATAACAACATAGCATAGAAAGGCAAAGAACAACATAGTATAGTGTGGCATAAAAAGTGAAAAAATGACATAGTATAGTAAGACCTAAAAATGTTAAAAACAATATAGTAAAGTATAGCTAAAAATTGAAAATAACGAAGTAGTATAGTGAAGCAACGAACAACATAGTATAGTATGGCATAAAAAGTGAAAAAATTACATAGTAACATGAAAGTGAAATGTCTAAAAATTGTCATTGTTTAGTAAGGCATAAAAAGGTCACAGAATAGTAAGGCATGAAAACATAAAACGTTAAATGTCATGAAAAAGTCATAGTATAGTAAGCCATAAAATGTCAAAAAAATGTAATGGCGTAGTAAGGTCTAAAAACGTCAAAAAACGTCAGTATAATTAGACGTCATACAATATAAAGGCCAAAAAAGTAAAAAAAACGACTTGTATAGTAAGGAATAATAACATCTAAAAACGTTACAATATAGTAAGGCATAAAATGTCATAAAAAAGTCATAATAACGCATAAAAACATCAAAAAACATCATATGTTTTTTAACATTAAGGCATAAAAACGTCCAAAAACATCATAGTATAGTAAGGCCTATAAAGTAAACTCATAGTATAATAAGGCGTAAAATGTCATAATAACATTTTAAGATACTAAGGCATGAAAACATCAATAAAACCTCTTGTATAGTAAGGCATAAAAACGTCATAGTCACTCACTGTTTGCTCATGCATTTGTCAGCATGTGCACTCCAAGTAGGATGAGGGATACCTGCAGATGTAGCCTCTTCACAAACTTTATTTAGTGTATACAAACTAGAAATTGATTTTGTAAATAGTAGGTCTATATCACCCTCATTGTCGATAAAGAATAAAGAATTATAATACAGCCTAATAAATCTCAATTTCCACCCTGTGCAGCCCAGCCACACTGGTCTCTGAGAACTTGTGCATCATATCCAGGTAGAACAATTGTAAAATGCAAACACCAATACACAATAAACAAAGATAACAATCCAATAAACCTCAGAGTGAACAGCAACAGCAGCCCTTGGCATGAGAGTGCACACCGTCTCCATGCAGCTGTGTGCCATATGTATATGTATGTGCATGTGCGTCGAGCTGTGCCGCATCAATTAAAATATTATTTCTGTGTTGATATTTTTTTATTCTGCAGTGTGCTGAAAACATATCTATAGCGTTGTATTTCAGCACTGTAGCCCAGACAAACCTGTCCATTTGGATAGAAGATGTGCAGTAGCACTAAATAAATCAATGTGTAATATAACTACATGGAACGACTTTAATTGGCACTTTGATAGTTACCAATGCCTCTTTGTGATGTCTTTTATTACTTCACAAGGCCTACATTTATCTGACAGTTTTAGCCTTCAAATAAATAAATAAATGAATACTGTTTCCAAGCTTAGCACTTATTTATTTTTTCAACTGCTTGAGCAGAATTACTTGAGAGCCCAAACAATGTGCCTATGGGTGCTAGAATGCTGCTAGATGCTAGAATTCTTTCTTTCCCTGTAGTAAAACTGCTCAGTGAGTAATTCATGGAGTAGGCGTGCTTTGAGATGTACAGTAGGCTCATAATGATGATAACAATGTGTTGAGCTACAATTGCAGCATGACTCATAGACTAAATCCAACCTAAACTGTTTTGTTTACAGTAATACCAGTGGATACTCAGGATTCATTAGGCTTTTAAATGAACCATTAATCTTAATCTTTCTGTTTAGAAGGCGTGGGGATGTGTGATGGATAACAACTCTTTATATACCACTTACCTAGCCATTTATCTGTGTTGCGTTTAGTCATGAAATGTTTTAGTAAGAGACTCACAAAAAGACAAAGACAGAGCTTTTGATGTAGAAACAGACATAGAAAAGTCTTTATTTCTTGTTTTGAAGCTGCATACAGAGTATATTCACATTTGAGGAGAAAAACATCACACTACAATTCAAATAAAATAAAACATAAAGGGTCCAGTGTGTTTGTCAACCAATAATGTAAGTAACTGCTTCAAGAGAATCAACCTCTTGGGTCGTCCAAAGTTAGAAGGTGTTTGCAAAGTACCACAATTCATTTGTAGCTACAAAACATGGAGTTGGAATCTAATTATCTCTGAAATAAACATTTGATTTTACTCATTACAAAAATCAGTTTTGAATTAAAGAGTTTTCTGCCCTGATAATGCAAATCACATCCGATCAACACGCTGTTTTTCAGAGGAGTTACTCAAGGTCGGGCATGTCTTCAAATCCCTCCGCTTCCTCCTCCCTCCTCTGTTCCTCTAGCCTCTTTTTCTCCTCCTCCGCCTTCCTCCTCTCCTCCGTTGCCCTCTTCATCTCCTCCTCCACCTCCTTCCTCTGTAAATTCTGCATGTCTTCAGCTTTCCTGTTCTGCTCCTCTCTCTTTTCCTGCTGTTTGTTCTGCGGTGTGTCATAGGCCCACTCCTCGTCCGAGTCGCTGATGTCGTCGTCGTCGATGTCCCAGTCGGGCTGGTGAGACTCGTTGGTTTCGGCGAGGGAGTCCTCTACGGGCTCAGGCTCCGGTTTGTAGTTGGGGTCCTCCAGTTTGCCCCAGGCCACCTGGTCCGCCTTACGCAGGGAAATCTCCACTTTGGATGGGACCATGTTGACTGAGCTCTGTTTGACATTGATCACCTGAGGAGGGTCGGAGGAGAAAAGCGTCAGAGGTATCAAAGGAAATATGTGGATATAGGAAGATTATCATGTCAAAAACGTGCAAGTGGGAGGAAATTTTCCACTTGTTGCTAATGTAGCTTGACAAACATGATTCCAGACAAACTAATGTCATTCCACTGACAGACACATTGAGACGTATTTTACTCACCCCCCACATGTGGAACTCTCTCTTGAAAATCTTATTGTTCTCAAACTGGATTTGACACGAGAGCTGCAGAGAAGAGGGAAGAAGAGAGAAATGAGGTGAATTCATCATCATGTTTAATACAGAAAAAAGGCTTTGTCGACCATTGCCCACTTAGTAAAGACCTGCAAGTCCACTGAGCAAGGACACCGACAAGGTAAACCGACCACCTCACTCTGACCACGCACAACTTTGTACTGACATAGCACTGCAACCGTGTACCTCAACAAAGCACCGTTGTGCATGAAGGCAAAGAAACCTGGCTAATCACAGGCCGTCACAACAAACCTCACACACGTGTCTCCTTTGCTGTTGGACCTTACAACTACCAGTCTGCAGTGAACAAAGAACATTTCATTTCTGGTTATGCTAATCGGCTATCTCTTGAGCTCCAAACCTGAGAACACTGCGACATCAGCTGCACTTTCCACTAACTACACATTCTCCCACACCTCCGGTCTGTCCGGCCGAGAAGGTGGGACTCTGAGTGCGTCCCTCCCTACCTTCAACAATCTCTGCCAAATGAATAAATGTAATTGAATGTAATACGTGTGTTTGATTGTGTGCTGCTACACTCACCACTGTCCGGTTGGCCTCTATGCAGGAAAGTTCAGGGTTTGCGTTCTTGGCGTAAATTGTTACAACAACATTATTTCCAGTCTGGTGCCAGTCGTGTCGACAAGCCACCTTCTTCTTGTCGTGTAAACACACACACACACACACACACACACACACAGATCAGCCACAAAGGAATAAACTGGATATGTCCAAATACTACAACTGGGTTCTACCTTTTAATGACTAGTGATTGTACCTGTTTTGGGACCCAGCGATGTGTCCCTGTGGTGCAGCCCTTCTGGTCGAGGAAAGCATTGAAGTCTATTGTTCTAATGCAGCAGCAGCTCCAGTACTTGTACCTAAACAAAAATAAAATTGTGGGTTTGTCACAGCTGTGTCATTCAGGAAATTGATCAACCTGACTGATGTATGTATTCAAATTCAACACACAGCAGTTTTTAATATTTGTTTGAATTCATGTGGAAAATGAAGGGATATGGGGGCAGTGACAGTTTTAATTTACTTCTAAAGTCTCTTCTTTTTCTAATGTTTGATCTTTCTTTATATATTTGAGCTTTTATGTTTCTTGCTTTTCTTACATGGCCTTCAGTTTTGTTTTTGTTTTTTCTCATTTGTCCTTTGTAGAAACTAATTATGGTTTAAAAAGACAGTTACAAATAACGATTATAATTATGACATTGTAGATTATGCATGATGCCTTTGTAATATCCAGATTAAAGAGCTGGAAACATCCACCAGCAATTTTAACTCTGTGTGTCTTTGTGTTTGTTTCTTACCCCTCATGGAAGACGGGTGCACCAGGGTGGTGGGTGCAGACCTCCATGTCTGTCTCTGGGCCTTGATACGCCTAAACACACACACAAACACACACACATACACACACAGTGCAAATGATTACAGATCAGCTGACCAATGATGTTTATCAGAGTAGAGTTTTTCTTTCAAGTGTGTTTTTGTTTGGCTGTAGTGTTTCTCAACTTTTGGCTTCCGAGCCCAAGTGAGCACTTATTTGTGCAGACGAGGTCACAGAAGATTTTAAATCGACTTTGCTAATTGAAAAAGGTCGTGTTAAAAGAGAACACTAGTCTATATGTTTGTTAAACTAATTTACATGATCGCTCAGGTGGAATAAATAATTGTCTGAAGTAAGAAATATTTCTTATCAAACATTCACATTTTATAAAGATCATATGTGTTGTATGTAAAATTGTCATCTACACAGTAATTAGGGTGTAGCTTTCAAGTAATTGGTTGAGTAGAAAGTACAACTTTGCCTCTGATGGAGAAGAAGTATGAAGTTCTATAAAATAAGAAACAATCATGATAAAAGTAACCCAAGGTTATATTTAAGTTAATTATTTGAGACAATATAATTATTTGTGGGTTTTTGGGACCTTAAACTAAAAAGTCATGAAGCCAGCAAAGGTTGGAAAAGTGTCATGGTGCAGCGACGGGTCATTTCCTGTTACCAGCCTTGTCCACTAGATGGTGCAGTTAATAAGCTTTACAAGCGAAGCTAGAGGAACAAGTGAATGTGTGTGTGTGTGCTGATGTTAGAGAGTTGATTGTTGGGCCATATTGAATATGCCTATGAACATACAATAAAGATACTCACCGTTTTGCATCCTGAATTTTTGCATCTTGTCCCTTGTATGACAACCTCACTGTCTGATGGAGGAAAAGGGTGAGAGAAGAAAATCAGCCATCTGTCTTACTGAGGCAGGTTTGTCTGAGCTGCCACATGTTCACTTGTTTTACAAAAATATAAACTGTTGTTGAATTATCTATCAAACTCACAAAAACACAGGCATTGGAAGCAGAAGAGACAAAAGACATGTCATACAGAAACTAATGAACATACTTAGTTATTTGTATTGACTCAAAAGTTTGATTTTCTTGCAGCTGGTGCGCTTGGAATTCAACCTGTTTCTATTACAGATCAACTTGTTTCAAGTGTTTGACTTTAGTACAGTGACCTGCCTTATTGTGTCTCATTTCATATATAGTTTCTCAATTTGAGAAAAACTTAAAGACAAGTTCATTTCTGCTGATTATTTAACTGTTTTTTGATTCTATAAATACAACATGAAGCCAAATGCACACAAACATAAAGAAAAGTCTGATTCTTTCTAAACATTTTTGTAATTAAATTTGACTGTAACTGCCTTTAAAATTTCACTTTCTTGTAATAAGCTCAAAAATCTGAGAGTACAATAAGAATATTTCAACCTGTTTCAACCTGCTTATTTTGTGTTGTTTCAAAAATACAGACTCTCATTTTGTTAAATATTTTCCAGAATAAATAATACATTTCATCATTAGATCATCACTAGAGACCTTTTTTTTTTCTTACTGCACTGGAAGATTTTTCTCACTTCTTTAGAAAAAGTTTGTACAACTGAACTGAGGTCAGACATGACTGAGTAAGATAGAGATTTCAGTGTAAAGACCAGAGTTCTGTTCAAGAACACAAACACACACTGACCTTTCTGATCTTTCTCAGCTTTCTTACTGATTTCCAGTTTCTCCAGCACCTGAGCCAGCGATGCAGACACTTTCTGGGGCAGCTTGGTCATGGGCTCATCTGAACTGTGCGCACACACACACACACACACACACACACACTCATGTTAACACAGAAAATGGGTGCTGGAAAATAAGCACTCAAGGTACACATACACTGCAGCATCAGCACAGGCCTGCAGACAAGGACATTATGTTATCCACTCAATTATTTATTCCAGGGATGTTGCATGCGACCTCATCCTGACCTCTTTGAATTAATGCATGTACAGAGGCAGCTGCATGCACGGGCAGCTACAAGGTGGTATATGTGCAAAGAGACAGAGTCCATTTCCATCTTATGCAAATGTAAAAAAAAAAAAGAAAAAGAAAAGAAAAAGAGGACGCTTGTTAGAAACGAGAGCTGAGAGGAATTTTTAAACACACCTGGGTCTCTCCTTCTTCAGCTTCTCTGCAGATTTGGGTCCCTGGTAGATTATCTCCTGGCCGTTGGTGTGTTTAATCTCCCTCTTATCTGACACGACCTCCGGCCGCAGAGGCTCCTGCGGCTTCTCGTTGCTGTGGCACCCACGGGTGCAGCCCTGTTCAAAACGAGAGAGGTCACCTCAGCCTGATGAGAAGAGGAAAGTCTGCACAGGCACCGAAACTTTCATGTATAACTCTTCTGAGTGGAAGACACCATCGCATAAAATTATACCTCGTTTTTGAGTTAAAAAAAAAAACAACGAAATTTTGAATTTTTTTGACTTTAGTTAAAATCAATTAAGAAAACATAAACAAATTCAGAAAACATCTTCATCAATGTGACAACACACATGCTGCAAATGTGTGTGTGTTTGGTTGTGCTGTGGGTATTTGCAGCACGTGTTGTCACATTGATGAAAACGTTTTCTGAATGTGTTTGTGTTTCGTTTATCTGCATGTGTTTTCATAAGTTGCAGTGCTTGTTGAGCTCTCTGGGCCACCGTAGTCTGCACTTTAAAGGGATAATTACCAGAATTCATCCTCTGTCTGTTTATGTGAGACATTAGCAGCTTGATCCTAACAAATGTATAACATCTTGTAAAGTGGATGACGGGCAATTTTCCAGCTGCAGGGCGGCCACATGTGCAACGCAGCAGTTCCTGCTTGCTGTAACTGTCCCTCCTGTTCACACTGGCCTTTAAAAATTTCCATTCGTGATGTATTTTCAACGTGAGAGATGAGGGACAAACACAGACGGTATTTATCTGGAGCTGATACAAGGCTTCAACAGTTGGACAAAATCAAGTGTGCATCTTTCAAGGTTCCCTTTTTGTGTTTCTGTCCTTTCTCTGCAGCTCAGCACACAAACACAGACGGATCGTGATTCATTTCTTACTGGAGTAATGAATAAAGTCATTTGAGTTGATAATAACTAATTCATTACCAATTAATAAGAACTTAATTAATAGATAACTTTTTTGTTCCCAACTCTTATTTATTAAGTCACTAATTCATTTCAATTGTGAAATAATCCAATGTGTTTTAAAACTCAAAGCTGTTTTTTTATCTCACATGACATCAGGCTCAAGAATTCATCAAATCGGAATTTAATAATATTGATTGATACTAGTTAAGAGGAATTATTTACTATTAAAAACTGCTGTGTGTTTTAATATGCATGTGTTAAAGGTATTAGCCAGAAATGTGTTAATGACGCCTTCAACTCATCCATAACTGTGAGTGCATTTTACATGAGCTGCTTTTTACATTTTGTCCAGTATTTCCACGTCTGCTTTTGAAATATTTGATTGGCGTTGAATCTATACAGTGACCTTACACTTCCTCGCTTCCTTCCTACATCATAATGAACCGCAGATATTTACAGGAACATGAATTTTTTGCAGATGTTAACAGCGTGTTTGACCCTGAGCTGTTACCTTGATGGAGAGAAACTCTGAGAAATCTGTTGTCCTCTTCTTACAGCAGGACCAACCCTGCAGAGAGACACACCAACAAACATGTCATCTTTTTTTTTTTTTTTTTTAATGCAGAAAAACAAAAGTATCGTTGTTTATTTTTATTTACTTGTGAGTGACTTTTACCTTCAGAGCATCGTGGAAGATTGGGACTCCTGGATGGAATACGCAGGAGTCTGTTAGAGGAATGAAAAAAAAAAAGTCAGTCTGTATTTGGACACACAGTCAGCTGGGTGCACCAGCTGTCCACAGGGGTCACTGGAGTTGAGAGGCAGAGTGTGTGCTCCATAAAAGGAAGCTGGTTGCCAGGAAAGTGGCTGTGTAGCTCGGTCGTCCGCCTGGAAACACGTGGCTCACCATGCATGCTAAGCTAGCTCAGACTTTCTCTCTCAGACACACACACACACACACACACACACACACACACACACACACACACACACACACACACACACACACACACACACACACACACAGCATGTATGACAATAAGGACGCAACTTCTTTGATGTCACACAAACCAACACTTGGTTTAAGCAGATTTTTGACTATAAACCCAACTTCCTGTCACCTGTTGAGTTCTCTAAAAGTTAGTTTAGAAACCCAAAGTGATCTCAAATCTTTTGCAATGTGTATGTCATGTCTTCTTGTAATGAATCTGTCAATTTTGTACCAAGTTTTCACATTTAATTTGCAAATTTGGGAGAGAGACACAACTAAATGTGGTCATATGAGCATACTTTCAAAATAAAAGGAGACGTTAATCCAATCATTGAATTAAATACTGTTTTATTGGCTTTGAAAAAGTTGCCCAGGATTAATTTAAAGTTTCTTAGTGAAAATAGCTTTTAAATGTAGGAAGTCTAGTCCTAATTTCACCAATTAAGTGACATAATGTTGAAATATTTCTGGTTTTCAATGTGCTCTGTTTGCTCAGAAGTTCAAACTAACTGAACATAAAGATCTTATTGCAAACTAAGAGAAAATCTAAGAAGAATTAAAGCAAATCTGTAAAGTACAAGATAAAAAAGAGCAACTTTAAATGCTGATTTTCATGCTTTTGTCCCACAGACTGACGCTTCATATCCCAAATATCAAAACAAAGCAGAGTCACTCTAAAGAAGCGATTTAAAACCACAGACACAGAGACAGGCAGCAGGATCTTACCGTCCTTGTTCTTGTCAGCGTCATACTTCTCTCCGCAGCCTTTGTTGTAGCACATCAGAGCCATGTTGGCCTGTTGGTTTGTCTTGGTTTCTTTTTTTTTTTCTTCACCCTTCGGTCACTGTGTGTTCGATTCTTGGTCGGATTATCTCCCTTCCTGCTCTTAAAGCTGAGGTCAGAGCTCCAGAAGTTTCTCCAGACAGGGGCAGAGGAGAGATCCAGAAGGAGTGATCGCCTTCTGGAGAGAGACAGAAAGAGAGAGAGACGGGGTGGGGGGGGGTCTCTCTCTCTGTCTCTGGTTTGGGCCTTGCTGAATGAAAGATAAAAATAGCAGCTCACCTCCCTCCTCTCTCTCCCCTCCCGTCTAAATTTACAGCTGTCAAAGCTTATCTGAAGGTGGGGGATGACATTCCTCCTGGTGAGAGTCGGCTGTCACCGACAGGCCCTGCTGTGGCCCGACGGCCGCCACAGTAGGCCTGACAACTTGTGGATATCTGTCGCTTTCTGCCACTGGATCCACTGCAGACCGGACTCGTCATGGGAGCAGCAGCCGCAGTTCTTCCACCTGCTGAAGATGCTAGAAGACATTTTCAGGGCAGGGACACGTTTGTGCTCAAATTTACTGGATATTTTTAGAGGAAAAACCTGATGAGGAAAAGTAAAATGTAATTCACTGATTAGCGCCGGATCAATATAAGAACATTACACCCATCTGTGATTGCTGACCCTCTCATTCCAAAACAATATTCAAAGGACAGAAATTCCCAATCGTGTTTTTTTAGTTCCTTATACATATTGATAATCTGCCAATACTGCACTTTCTATTAGTATTTTATACAACAGTTTGAATGTGACAGCAGAATAGGTCTGCTACAGGAAAATACAACCTGTTAAATAATGTGTATTTCACTGTAAACCCAGATCCATCCATTTATTTAGAACAATTTCCAGTGAAGTCTGTGGTTCATGCTGTAGCTACATACTCTTATCTCTTCTGTTACTGTCTATTGAAGTTTTAATAACTACATTTGAGAGATTTGTGCGAGAAAATGTTTATTTATGAAATAAATAATAAAATATGAATGGAAATATCAAAACATCTCATTGCCTGGTCACTGGCATCAATATATCCTAATAAAACTATCGGTTTAAAGGTGATATAAACAGTTACATATACTACTTGCAACAGACTTATTTCTCCTAAGAAATCACTGTAGCTTTTTAAAGTAGATATGAGTAAAATTCAAAGATCTTAAATTGTATAATTTTACATATTCATTAGTACTTCAGGTGGACGTGGATGGATTAGTGAAAAGGTGGTTTACATCTTGGGTTTATGGAGTTCTGCACCAGAGTCTCATTCATCCTGAGCACAGAGAGACAAACTGCCGGCGACAACAGGTGGTACGACAATAAATTATTCACTAAAGACAAAACACTGCTGTTTGTCAGCCTCAGTTCGTTCTGACTGATGTATGTCTTACTAAGGACCACTTAGTCAAAAACAAAAAGGAAAACACTGAAATACGACCAAATACATCACCCCTGGCATCTGTGAGAGCCTCTTGATGTGATTGTGGAGCAAATGTACACAAACACTTTCATTATTCAGAGCTCAGCAGGAGTCAGGAGGTGGGAACCTGCTTTTAAATCCCTCGCTGTGGGAGCGCTCAAGTCGTCCTAATAACACACAATAGCGGGGGGGGGGGTCCACACCACACTGGTAGAAGTGTTTCAGGTCAACATGTCACAGAGGATAAACAGTACAAGTATACACAAAAACAAACAGCAAAACAGCAACTACGCACTGGAGATTAGTGGTAATTAAGTGTTTCCCATAGTTACAGGATCTCTGGGACATTTTGAAGGTGCCACTTATGTTAAGTTTGCATGTAAACTCTTGCCAGGGTGTTTTACTGGTGGTTTAATCCAATGGAAGCAGAAGAATATGTCGTGGGAAATTCCCTCTCACATTTAATATAGTTATGTGATAGTTAATATCTATTAACTATCACATTTTTATGGCATTCTGCTGATCTTAGCCTTAGAAACCATTGTTTAATTTTGCATTTAATTAAAAGTCTTCACAGAAAGATACCACTTTACAATAAGACTACCATTATAAAAGGATTTATAACTGGTAAAAGGAGCCTCATTGACAAGTGTGAAACACATTCACCATTTATTAATGAGTTACTATGAGGCTCCTCTTACCAGTTAGAGATGGTAGTAACTCGTTAGTAAGAATAATGAGTGATGAGCATTACTTTGATCTTGCCAAATAGCGATCCTGCATCAATGTACAAAAACTGTTATAACTTATTTATAATTATTTATTTATGATTTATAAAGTTTAATAACCTCATTATAAACCATTGATAAATCCTTTATAAGGGTAGTCTTATGTGGCACCTTATATTTTATTCTTTGGACACTAAAGTTTGATTGGAAAACCACATATAAAAATATGTATAAAAATATATTAGTAACTCAGTGTCCTCCCTCAAACACTGCTCCATCATTGTGCCCTTGAGCAAGACATTTAACCTGGGCACATTAGTACGTTGGTTATATGAATGTAAAATGTTTTCAGGATAAACAAGGTTAAAAAGCGAAGCAGAACTTGCCACCCGCACTGAAATGCAAGATGAACCCCTGCAAAAAATATTGGATTGGGTAAAACATGCGTTGAGATCTCACTAGAAAAGAGGCTGAATTAAGAAAACACATTCTCACGCCCTGCGGCGCCGCAATTAAAAGTCAGAAGATGCACTGTTTGACATTTCAAGGCCTTGAATTTTTATCATCTGAGACTTTAAAAAGTACATTTCAAGGGTTTGTAGACTTTCTTTGCAGTTTAAGCAGCGGGTTGCGACTGCAGCTCATTCAGCAGCTGTCAGGAACACTCAAAAGACAGACACTCATTTAGGAATGGAAAATGACTTTTTATTTCTTCCAAAAAAAGAGAGAGAGAGAGAGAGAGAGAAAACAAATCCCTAGAATAAACAAATATACTGCTGTAAAATAAAAGCCTGTGATTTTTGTCGACTGAAACATTTGTTTGCCTTTCCATGCTTGATACAATCCATATATTTCTGCTTTAAATAAATAGAAAAAATGTACAAAGAGATGGGGGGGGGGGGGGGGGGGGACAGAAGAGAGAGGAACAGATTAAAAGGTGTACTCTGCTCAAAAAACATTTGGCATCATTGAGAATTCATGGCTGATCCTGATGTATGGGGAGGTCTGCAGCCCTCGAAAATCTGCATCGTCTGTCTGTTTTAACCCGCCCCCGCTGAGTAGTAATCATACCTATATACTGCAGTATGAACGCTAATATCTTTCATGTTCAGAAAAATAAAGAGTAAATGAAAATAATGCGGTTGCGGATAATGAGAGTATGTATTTAAGCTCTGTGTTGTGAGTGTGAATGTGTGTGTTTCTCTATATACAGAATAGTGAGGCAGCAATCCGAGGTTTCTTACCAAAAAACACAGATGTAGAAAAAACAGAACGTGCACAAGAGATCTTTGATTCAACACACACCGGCTCACTGACAAAACGAGGAAATTTTTTATCTGTTTAACAGCCTCTCTCTTTGTTTCTTTCCATTTTCATTTTAGTGGGTGTCTAGACTCCTGGATTTCTCTTCCTACACTGCCAAGGCTGCGACGCACACAGCGACCCACAGATGGCGCCACAACAGTGCAGAAAGGACTATATCTGCCTTTGAGGACATGTGCTGCGAGTAACAAATGTGACATCTTTGGGAGAAGTAACACAAACAAGTTTGGCGCTCCGTTTTGCTACAGTGGCTCGTTTATCGACAGTGACAAACATCTGTCAGATTCGGTCCAAACAAGTGATGAACCTTGCTGTCATGGACGGCAAATGACCGGTCAAGAAAGTCTGATCCATCTCGCCTTTTCGCCTTGTCGGGGGCGCCTGACAGACAATACGTTTTTAAAACAGGGACAACAAGAGGAGAGAATTTATCATCATCATCATCATCATCATCATTATCTCCATCACCATCACTGTCATATCATGCTTTTTTTTGGAAAAAGGACAACAAACATCCACAACGATACAACCATGCTCTCACCGACCCCGGAAAGAAAAGAGGGATGGCTCGCCAGAGAAGAGTCTGCTCTGAACATTTGATACACTTGGCCTTAGCAGACAACAAAGTATTTAATATGACATCAAGATTTATCAGTGTATCCTTCTCCACCTGGACTCGTGCTACAACAATGCAGAGAGGTGGTAGCAGCTTTTGAAGTTGAGAGAAACTTTCTAGCGGTAGCCACAAGGCTCGCCACATGGCTCGCCACAAGGCTCGCCCAGGTTAGAGGGCAACCCCAGAGAACAGTGGTTGTACTGGGAAACTCCCAGACAAAAAGAGAGTTTAAAATTCGAGGAAGGGAGTTGCCGAAAAAGAGCCTGCATGCTCGGCCAAAACCCTCCCCGGATAACAAAATTACCTACATGATAAAGCTGTAATAATTACTGGCAGTTACATCAACGCTAAGGAGACGAGGAGACGAGCCAGTAACGTTTATGAGATCCGAAAAAACCACAGTAGTCTCCTCCTCTACGCCCTTTTTGAAACCACTCAAGACACAAAGAAAGAAAACCTCATCGCAACAGGCAGGACTGAATTTCCATGCAGAGAGAATCTACGAAACGGAACGAGACACGGGAAGAAAAGAAAAGCAAAGAAACTGGCCCACAGGAACACAAAATGTAGATTTAGCTTGCAAGAAAACGCCTGAAAAAAAGTAAGTCAGACCAGGTTAAACACTTGTCTTCATACCAAACCCAACCAATTTTGTATTCTACAAACATCAGAAAATGATGAGAACTGTAGCTGGACCTGATATGAATTGTTTTTAAGATCCAGTGTGGTGATGACCTGATTCTGGCTCGGCGCCACCAAAGCGACGCCTCTTTCTGAAATGCCAGTTTATCACACCAGATTAGAGACAGCAAGACAGCTGTCGCAGGAAATAAAGAACCATGATTAGAACTAAATTTGGTGCCAAAGCGGAGGCATCCATTAAAAAAATAAAAAATAAATTAAATAAATTGTGCCAAACTTGGAACCTAAATACAAAGGTACTTTTATTTTAGACCCTGGAGAGGAGGATTTTGAGGATGGAGAAGCTCCAGAATCTATGTTTAGGATGCATGCAGTGTCAGAGGGAGTTCATGCTGACACCAGCTCAGTTTTAGGGCTCAAGAAAGCAACTTTCTGTTCACTGATATTTGGCTGGACACAAAAATCAAAAACGTTTCCCTGCTGAAGCTGGAATTGTGCTTCTCCGGGATCCACCGAAGCAAACGAGTGGCATCCGGACACGTTCGCATGCGTTTCTTTTACACTTGGTTTTGGGGGGTAGGACTTGTCACATTTAGCAAACCACAATGTAAAATCAGATATAGTCTGGAAACAGAAATCAATTTCACCCCAGTGACCGAGTGTAAACAAAACCATGACATTCGTGAAAGAGAATTTGGATTTATTATCAATGTAAAAAGGACGGGACGATGACAAGCTGGTGAATGAGAAATGTGTTTTCCTATACTCTGCTAGAGAAACAACTCGTGGCAGTAGTATGCTGAAATATACATCCAAACACTGAAGGAGAAAATAGAGCAAACTGCCTGACAGGATATTGACGTCCACTGTGACCTTCCGTTACCAATAACACATTTGTTTGCAAAGATGTTTACATGTATTTCCGCAGAAGCAGAATTCCAGTCTAACAGGGCTTGGAACTGAAGTTTTGTCCAGATATTTAAGGGATCTGTGGATTCTCTTGCGACATTTTTCCGACTAAATAAAAGTACCCCTGAACATCAGCTAGTTGATTGGCAAATTGAGCAGATTAACTTTCTAGCTGCTGCTGAAATCTGCTAGCATTTAGCTAAAGCTCATTTCCAAACATGGTTGGACTACATACTGTACTCAGTTCTAGAAAAGCACCGTATGTCTCTGCCACAGCCAACAAAGCCTCCATTTGTCACAAAAGACCTGGATATCCAAGCATCAGATTGGCTGTTGAGGTTCGTCAGTCCAATCAGAAACAGTTTGTACGATGCTGACATCATAACGAGAGGCGAAGATGGCCGATTGCTGGCGAGACGGGGAAAAAAGATGAGGACCTTACCTACCGGACACTGGAGTGATGCTGAGAGCGAGAAGAGAGAGCGCACTTAAAGCTAGAAAGAAGCGAACCACAAAGCCTGAGCCTCCGAAAGGTTTCATCTACAGCTAAAAGACAGAGACACCAAGAGAGATAATAGAGCTATAGTCAGAGCAGAGGTGAGGACAAGGTGGGAAACCTATTGCAGGAGGTCTTCTACAGGTTTCAAGGAGGATACTATGAAGAGAAGCTAAGCTAACACAAGACTGCGACAAGAAGTGTCTAAGAGCAATATCTATCCAACAGCGACAGTGATGGCTGAGCGCAGACAATCTAGACAGAAACTGGTTATTATTACTATTATTTTTTTTTTTTTTTACATATCTACACATACCAAACAGTGACAAAGCAGGCTAAAAAAGCATTCTAGAGATAGACCAAGTAGACAGAGTTGAGAGACTGAAGCAAGATTCTAGAGATTTCACAGCAGAGTGGATGATGAGTGCGATACGACTGGACTATTACTGATGGTTGTTGGGATGTAGACACTGGGCTGGGACCGGGGGATGGGACTAATAAACAGTTTCAAGTTCATTGTTTGAATGGCAGGAAAATAACTTTTAGTTACCTGCCAAAGTGGCTGGTTTAGACAAAAAGATTAGGCAAACTTGTTATTGTAAAACCCCAAACTATCTTTTACAAACTTCAAATCTCTTTCTCAACTTTTTTTCCACGCCAGGAAAACTGGCAACAGCTCCACTACGGCAGGATAGTCACTTCAGTGCAAAATTTTTGCATGTGCATTTTGCAACAAAATTTGATTTTACAAAAACAAAACGAGCACGTCTTGTGTCAAACTCGCTGGCTCAAATTTGGCTTGAAATCTGACACAATTTGACCCTCAGAAATAGCCCTCAATGGAAAATGTACACATAAATGTGTAAGCATACACGTGAACGCACGGCACAAACACACCGACAGTCAGACTCACGGTGACGGAAGCTTTGGCTGAAGAATGGCCATGACATCTTACACAAGTCAAATTTGATCCCCAAAACTTCCTGGAACCACAGAGCGAGGGTGATGCCAAAAGTTCAGTGTCGTTTGGCTCTTGGTGCAGATAGAGTCGCACTTACAAGACTCTCACTTTGATTCAGTGCAATTTAAAGTGAATTCAACTTGATTCAGTAACATGTAACTCACTCACTCAGTGCTGCTGTCATCAATCATTGGCACATAATGTGGATCTGCCAATAGGGTGTACCTAACGAAAAAAGCTCTTGAATGTTTAAATCTGCTTGTTGAGCTAATGAAGACAAGAAAACCAGATACACACAGGTCACCAAGGTGCTAACAGGCAGCTAACAGGCTAATGATGCTAATAAACACTCTTTAGCATGATGCAAGTACAAATTTCTTCAATTTTACCCAAGTAATGGCCAAAAATGACAAGATAAGCGCGTTAAGTCCCACCTCGCTAAAGGCCTGGTTACACCATTGTTTAAAATTTTGGGGATTCGCTCACAAGGGGGAGGTTAATTTGTATTAACTTTTCAAAGCAAGTTCAACTTGCTATAAACTTTAACACACAAATTTGTGCTGCTGACCAATAGCAACCTGTCTTGACATTGCTGAACTTAGAGTCCAAAATGGAGGAAGCCAACGCTGCTTATTAGTCGCGTTGCACCATCCACCTTATAATATAAAATAATAATTATTTATCTTATATTAATGTTCCAGAAAATCTTCTCTTGGAGTATAAACTGCTCCACAAAAGAGGAATGGCCCGGAGACCAAGATACATCTTTTGAATAAACTGGGTGAACTTACTGTCAGTTACAACACTAGCTAGCTTAGAGCTTTCTTTCTCATCTCTTTACTCTTTACTGAATGAAATGATGTAAAATCCCAAGGACAATATACCAGGGGAAGGTAAACAACAGCACAGAAAAAAGAGAAAAAGTTCAGAGAGCTATGTGACTGACTAGTTCTTGTCTGGCTATTGTGTTAGCGGTTAGCTAACCAGCTAACAAGCGTTTCACATAGGCACATGGATGAATTTCGCTGTGCCGCTTTCTGGTGTGACCGGGCCTCAAGAAAAATATTTTTTAAAGAAAAGTTTTGGTTCACAAACAGTTCAGACAACTCTGTTGTTCCATGCTAGCATGTTGTCATCGCTAATCCCTGTCTCTCTGTGTGTATCTGTGGCTTTAGGAAAAGAAAAACAATGCAGTATGAGTAACAAAGACTTTAGCTTAAAACCCATAACAACAAACGCTCAACTACTATTAACAAATGGTTCAACAAATTGCTGTACAAGCCCCGATAACATTCAGGAGAGGTTGCAGGAGAAAACAGATTGAAAAATACAAAGATATCCCAACAGAGTGGAAAATTACGGGAAACACACTGGAGAAGATTTGCCTCTAAATCTCTCGCTGATTGGACAGTTGTGGACTCAGACAGAGAACGAGGGAGGGGATGGAGAGGAGGTCGGTCGTGAAGGTATTGTCTGAAGCAACTGCTGTGCGCACACAAACACAAACACACACACCTCCACATTCACACTGAACAAACACTTGTTCTCTCCTAAGTGCTCCCAAGTTGCCGTTGCAGGCGGGCAGAAACCCAGAGAAGACAAAATAGCACCAGTATGAAATAAAGCTAATTCTGCAGCAGAGACTCTCATGACAGTCAGATATATACAGTCTGACTGTAAAACCAGAGGTAGGATTTCCTCAATCCCCTCTTATCTCCTCCATCTTTCTTTACATCTTTCTCTCTCATCCATGTTCCCTCTCCTGAATCATCACTCCATCGATAGGATTTAAAACACAAATCAGGACAATATTACAGAAAGAAGCTACTATTACACAAGCACACACACACACACACACACACACACACAAAAGCAAGGAGTTGTTTCAGACAAAGACCAGCCAGGACGACCACATCCCCCACCACATCCCTCCACCCTGCCATCCCTCCATCCTCTGCTCGGTCATCTTCTCCTCTTTCCAACTTGTTTTTTGGTGTTGGTTGGTTATCTTGTCGTCTGTCTGTCTCTTAGTCATTTCAGCTCGATCAAATCATTCCTCCGTCCATCCGATCATTCCTCTTGTGTGTTTTCTTCTGCTGTTTGTTTGTTTGTTTGTTTGTCGCTTTTGGCACTCTGCTTCCCCCCTGACTGGATTACATAAACTGCATCTGAAACAAGACAAGGGGTGGAAAAAAAAAAAATCTGAGAATTTGTCTCACTGAAAACCACTTGGCTGCTTTAACTGGTTGCCAGCAAATGATTTCGCAACAGGAATTTCCCATTTAATAAAACAATACAGTGATGTATGTTACACCGGAGGTTTGGGACCCCCACAAAGGGATACCAACATAAATCTGAGAGGTCACGGGATGATCAACGGGATAGGAAATAAAAATAAAAAAAATGTTCATGCACCACAGACATTCTTCTAATTTTACTTTTCTCTCCCTCTTAAAATTCAAATACAATCATATTAAACGTATTTCAATTTTACCAACTGCTGATTATCTAACAGAAGTAGATGATGCTAAATTTGAATAATGCTAATTTAATGATGCTAACTTGACAACATGACAAATGATAAAACGCACTGCACCAGCAGCACAAGCAGAGAGGAACAAACATCTGTCAGTTTAACATTAATCTGAAGTTTACTTAAGTTTAGTAAACAGCTGACATTAGCCAATATGAGCTAAAGGTCATACAAGACCATTTAAGGCTGTTGGCGGCTAAACCCATGAGTGTACTGGGGTCACAGTGAAAAAGACAAGAAATGAACATATATCTGATTATTCCTCACAGACGTAATTAACACGACATACTGGGCGCAACTAATAATGCTGCAATTGTTGTGAAATGCAATAACTTGTCAGAAATGTGAGGAAAAACCCAAATAAATTAAATTAAATCTAAATTCCTAGTAAAGGCATTTATTGCCATTGGCCACTGCCACTGTGATGTTATTAGGGCTGTAACTATTTCAACTGATGTTGTAATATCACTGAGTAACTGTGGTAAGAATATGAACAAACAGTGGAATCATTTAAGACTTCATAATTTTATCAGTCTGTTTTCCGCTCATTTGCTCTGTGTATTTATCTGTGTTCATTTGCTCGGTGTATTTATCCTGTGTTTCTGGGCCAGTGCTGCTGAACAAACAAAGGGACAGATGGATTAGGTTAAAGTAAGTGCATGTGCTTTGTGTCATCACCTGGGCTCCGGGCATGGGTGCGAAGGGGTTGGTGGGTCTGAGAACAGGCTGGTTGTACATCATTGGCTGAGGAGCCATCACTGGTACCCCGCCCATCTGACCCATCTGGGGAGGGACCTGCAGAGAGAGAAAGATATAGAGAAGAGGAGGCGGAGGAGGAGGAGGAGGAGGGGGTTGGGATGGAGAAAGATGGACAGAAAACATAACAAGAGCGAAAAACAGCGAGACAGCAAGAGAAAAAATAAAGTGAGGAACCAGTGATGCACAAATAGCAAAAGGGCATGAAAGGCAGAAACAAATGGAAACAGGAAAAGAAAGAAAGAAAGACAGAGGGAAGACAAAGAAAACAGTCAGGTTAACGTAGCTACTGGTGAACCCTTCTACTGTATATATTTTCCATTAGAGGTAAAATCATTAGCTGAGAATTTCATTAGTCAATTAACAAAGATTTACAAGAAAATTACCTTTTTTTTTGCTTTTAAAAAAGAATATCTTTGTGTTTTGGACAAAACAGGAAGCTTGAATACAAGGGATATAGGAATGTATAGGAAAATAGTTGCAGCCCTGTACTGCACGTATGTGACGGTTCGTACATGAAGAGTATTTTTCAGTGCACACTCACCATTCCATACACAGGCACTTGCGGTGTGGTCATGGGGAAAGCCATGGGAGCTGGAGCCTGGAAGAAAAGCAAGAAGAAAAAAAATAAAAAATAAAGAAACACAAATCTAGCACCTTTAGCTCTGACAGACATCTCATCTGTCCCGGTTAGAATTGTCTCACTGAACACAATAAATAAAAACACACAACCGTCTACTGTATGCGACTACATTTAATGCTGCTAAAGTGTGCGTGCATCAGGAGCACAACAACGCAGCATGCAGCAGAGGTACTTAGCAGAATCCCACTGGGAGCAATCATTACCACCGCTTTAAAAAGGGGGTGGCTCAATAGGACAGCGTTTAGCCCTGCCCTCCTTACTTCACAAATCAAATCCACTAAGGCTGAATGGGCCTCAAATTCGACGTGACGGGCAATTTGTAGCCGTCGTTTACAACCCACGCACATCTGCATCAAAGCCGCCGATTTCTGCCTGACCAAATTGGTAATTTATGGGGGTGAGTGTCCGCGGCAGCATTACAGTATCAGGAGCAGCGAATGTCCTGGAGGGGAATCAGTTTTTAAGATGAGAAGTGAAGATACAGTGCAGCACAACAGTGTAGTATCCATAACTCATACAACAGTGTTAATATTAACAGATGTAAGATGAGGTATCTGTCGCCTCCAGTAATTTCGTGGAGGCAGACGCTCCGACAACTTCTCTCAAACCAAACTAATAAGGATCTGTGTTTTTCAGTTGGGAATACCTGCAAGCACCTGCACACGATCCAAGATAAACCAGTGTGATTTTTTTTTTTTTTTTGCATTCTCCTCCTATCACATATAAAAGTTCAGTATTTGCTGCAGTCAGAAGTTGAGGCTGCTTTGCTCTGCTGGCTCGCCCTGAAGTCGCAGGCTTCCCACTGTTTTCACAAAGCCATTAAAAACAGCTTGCGGAAACACGTTGCTGCCTTCACAAACCTAATCCATCACCGTAAATGAGACAACTGTGGCAGTTTTCTTAACATGACTTTATAACGCCTAAATCACTGCAGCCGTGTAGCACATACTACTAACTACTTCCCCTCTGCCAGAGTTGGCTGTGTTTTACTGGAACAAAGAAATTAAAAAAGAAAAAAGAGTAAAAAAAGGACAATATTTCCACAGCACAGTAATTAGCTGTGTGGTGAAATCATACATTACCTTTGCAGTCTTAGGTAAAATGATGGATTACATTAATCAAGGCGATGAAATGAGCCTCATGAAATTTAAGCTTTCATGTGCAAAAATACAACTGCACTAGCATCATCCTGTAATTGCTACTTATGCAACGACACCTTAATCAATGCTTTAAACAAACAGCAAGTTACGCTGGTTGATCTATAAAAAGAGATTAGTCTCACAGTATTTTACAATTGCTGCATTTGTCTTTATTTAAACATAACTGCTTTTACTTTTACTAGAAACTCAATTTCTTCCCTTGACAGTAAAACTCATGTCACGTTCGGTTTGTCACGGAAAGTATAAACTAGAAACTTAATGTTTTATGCTTTTAAGCACGACAGTGTTACTGCAGCTGATTGTGCTGTAGATGGTTGAAGTATCTACGGTTTTGGAATAAATGAATAAAACCAAAAGCTTGAACAAAGAACGTCAAACTGAGGCGGTGAAGAGCTACAACTACTACTTTCAAGACTATTTTCTTTAACCTCTGTTTGATCTTTGAATTTTTACTTTTTATGATGGCACATACAATTTATGCATTAGCACTTCCTGTTTACCACTGGATTACTTTGATACTGAAGAAAAACAGGAAGTAGCATCATTGGGAAAGTGTAACTTACTGAATCATTAAAAACGTGTCTGTGTTAAGATTCTCCTGCTTAAATTGTTCATATTTTCTTATTGCTACTGGCATAATCTTGATGAAATGAACTGTGTGTTGATGAGAAATATTTAGTTTGACAGCATTTTAGACAACGATATATAGATATTTAACCATAAACACTGTTTACCTCATCTGATCCAGATGTTTTCATTAAGAAAACAGCATTTTCTGTTAAGACTTTTGAAAACTGAGCCAAAGCAAATGTAAAATGCTTTAACATCTGAGCTTCAAAAGGTTCTTTAAAGGCGAGGACAGGAAGTGGAAGCGATTCTCTGCCAAAAGATGGACAGAAAAAAAAAAAAAAAAAGGTTTCTTGTGGAGCCAAGTGAGCCAGTGAACTGATCTCAGGAGGTAATCAATGTGATGGATCAGGCATCGGCTTTTAATTCTGGCCTTCAGGGAGCAGGCTGTGAAAGTTGATCATAACCATTGATCAGTCCGATCTCTTGCGGCGGCAGAGAGGTAAGAAAGACTCCCAGTTTAGACATAAGACCTGAATCTATCCGTCACATATGTTTACCGTTCATTTGGTGACGCACTGGCGGTTTAAAGGTTTTACTGTTGAAAAATCCTGATTAAATATCTAACCGACTTTAACCGTCATCTGCACCTGAACCACTCTGCTTCACTTAACAAACCACCTGTCTCTGCGTTTGCCCGCCTGTGTACAATGACAGCGGGAAATCATTTTATTTTGTTCTTCTTTACGAATGACAGGATGATGTGCTGAGAGGAAAACAGAGCAGGTGAGATGGAGTTTATGCGCCGCTTCACCTTCTCTGTCAGCGTTTTTGTCCATCTGTCTTTCAGCCGAGCCGTCAACCTAATGCATCGTGTTTTAACATTTATCTGTTTGTCTGTATCCGTCTTTTCATGCTCAGCCTCTCCTGCTGTTTCTTCTCTCTAGCGTGTTTCCCTGTCTGCCTGTCTATCTATGTATCCTTTTTTCATAATCCGTCTGTTCTCCCCTAGATCTTTAACCCCTGAGTTTTAGAGATTCAAAGCTGAACTTTTCCCATTCCCTTTGCCACCTCCTTCTAAAGGGCGACGATCTTTTTTTTTTTCTCTGGGCCTTTTCTGCAAAAAGACAGACATCTGACCTCAGATGACCTGCACGGTTAAGTGAAGGTTAAATAAGTGAAATGCTTGGCTGGATTTCTGGCATTTCAAGTATCAAACGAGCGACACCGTTGCAGCCTTGCCCTGCTGCCGAGAATCTCAGGCGTCGCTTGTTGCTTATCATGCGTGATGCGTGACAGCCTATTTATTCTCCGCTACCTGTGATGTCTTATACATTACTGCCACATACCGCTATGACTTATTTATTGTGTTGAGGCTTACAGAGGTTATGTTTGCCATTTTTGACAGGCATGTCCATTTACAAGTCAGAGATATTAGATTTTCTTTCTCAGGGACAATAATAACAACTTCTATTAATATTTTCTGTGTGTAAGCAAAAGAAAAGAAAAGAAGAAGCTTAAATTAGTCAAAGCTGATGCATTTTTCTGTTTTCTGAAGGCAGGATTCAGTTCACTGCTGACCACACAGACTTTTGTCTTTCAGCATGTAGGAGGACAAAGACACGTCACATTTTTGCATTGTGCTTCTGAATTAATCCCCATAGGCAATTTCTGTGTTTTTGCGTTGTCCTTGTCAGTGAGAGTCAAAGATGAACTAATACAGCCAATATCATGTCTCTGGAATTAGACGGGAGCTGAGCCTTAGTTTCACAAGTCTTTGGGTTTTTTTTTTTTTTGACACAGACTGTGAACAATGACAGAAGATCTTCTTAACCTGTTAAGTCTGTCGGCACATGGTGTTGGGTTAAATGATAGGGCTGCTGATGTTCTGTATTTTTTCTGGTCAACAAATCCCGTAAGAAACCGTGCATATACTAGACACCAGGACAAACACGAAGCTCTACAGCAGTGAGGAATAAGTTCTATCAGGTTATGGCTACAATATTTGGAATCAATATTGTTGGATAATTTCATTTAAGGCTGGATATTTCAATTCAATACTTCATGATTCAGTTACATCAGATAAACACCATTGTTGTGTAAAGCGCTTTTTAATATTCATCCTGAGAATTTAACTTTCACCTGCATTCAATAACCAATTAACACTGTTGACAAGTGCACGTCATAGGCTAAACTGCAAACACATTTCCTGGTTATAAATCTGTGGACCAAGACTTTATTACTTGGCAAATACAAAAAACTAAAACATGATTTATCTTCATTTTTAGGCCATAACAACTGAGAAAGAAAAAAAAAAAAACTTGCACCATTTACAAGGGCGTCATAACCGGGCGTATTTTAAAAAATAAATGCTCTCCCACACAACTACACGTGGACTGTCTGCAGCAGATGCTTCAACTAACGACAGCACATCCACTTTATTGATGAGTTTGAGCACAGGCAGGACAGAAACTGAACGTCTGCTCACTAATTCATCTGCACTGTTTGTGTTGACATCAGCCTGATATCTGCAGACAGCTGCTAGCTAGCGTTAGCTTCCCGGCAGCAACAAACTGAATCTCGTAGCCAGAGATAATACCTCTTCAACAAACACAAACCGAGAGCTCAGATCAGCACTTCTGCACTTGTATGCTTTATCTCTAGATTTGCCTTCAGGTCCACACAGACTGTAACTGTTCACATCACAGTTTATGGCACTGTCATGACTCAAGGTGGCTCACATAACCAGCTCCTGGTATCAGTCAATTTGCTTAGTGCTTACATAACCAGCACAGAACATTAGCCTTTAGCACAGAGGTGAAAGGGTTATTTGTGGAACGTGGGCATGAACTGAATCAACTTCTTGTCAAACAAGTTGTCTTCAAGGAAAAAGAGAGGGTGGCAGAGAAAGAGATGAAGAGGAAGACGGCAAAGAAAGAAGGGAGGGAAGTTGGAAGCACATAAGAGAAGTTACAGGGCAGCTTGTTAAGACTTTTCTTACTAAACAGGGATAAGTACTTACATAACTAGTATAGAACATTCCATTCTGCATCAGGACGCAACAGGGAAAAAAGACAAAAGACAGAGAAAGAACAAGAGACAAAGAGGCAGAGAGAAAGAGGAGAGCGAAGAGTGAAGGTGACAAAGTGAGAGTGAAGGAGAGAATCCAAGAAAATGAGGTGGAGATGATGAAAGAGGGAGGGAAAAAGAGAAAGATAGGAAACAGGGTTGGAGTCAAAAAAAAGGAAAAAGGAAGGAATTTAAGAGTGAGGAAGAATATGTGAAAAAACAAAGGGAGAAAGCGTGAACGACAACGTAGGCAAAAAAAAAAAGGGAGATCGACAGAAAGGAAATAAAATGAAGGGAAAAATAAACGAGGGGTCATAATTCGGACGTGCAGATGTTAAAGGCAGTGCAGCGAAAACAGGACGAGCAGATGACAACGCAAAACAGAGTCGCGATAAAGCCGAACACGAGAGAAGAAGGGAAGGAAGACGAGTGGATGACGGTGCAAAACAGATGGGAGAAATGCATGAGGTGGACGAGCAGGACAGGAAGGAGAGATTAGAGGGGATGACAGCAGGGTTGAAGGGGTGGCGAGGGAAGAAAGAAAGAAAGAAAGAAAGAAAGAAAGAAAGAAAGAAAGAAAGAAAGAAAGGATCAACAGGAGAGAGAGAGGAAGAATAGATAGAATAGATATTGGGGAGAGGGAGAAAGAGAGGAAGTGGAGGGTTAGTGACAGTTTGTCCTCGTCAGCCAGAAATTGCAGTCCAGAGATCAGGAGGACAATCAGGAGCTGCCAAGATCAGCACACACACACGCGCACACACACACAAGCGCACACACACACACACACACACACACCACACCGACACACACACACACACACACACACACACACACACACACACACACACACACACACACACACTTACACTCACACAAGGCATGCACAGGCGGTTATATTCTGTACAGTACACTCACACAGACTTCCATCTATTCACGGGACACAACAAACATTCACATGCACACGGACAGGCAACAATTTTAAATAAACAATTTACACACACAATGAACAAAGTTTGTTTTTCTTTCTTTTCTTTTTTTAGGAAGGTGTCTGCAAGTTTTATTTGGATAAATGTTATAATTCTTCTTTTTCACAACTCAGGGTTTTCAGCATCGTTTCTGTCGTCTGAGAATGACATGTTCACTCCCAGTGGTCAGGTGACCAGGCCGATTATAAAGTAGCGGTGCAGCCACGTTATCTTAACCACTTCATTTGGAAGTAAAAACCAACAGTGAACTCAGCTGAAATGTTGGTAATAACTCCTCACTGCGCAGGTGTACTTACAACTGTGGTAAGTTAACAGTAGATCAAAGTTGCCAACCTGCTATTTGTGTAAGTTTTGCCATTGCTTCATAGCTAACGTTAGCATTAACAGCTGTTACTTATCCAGTCTGGAAGAAACGTTGCTAGTTCAGCATCAAATTTAATTCCTTTACTCACCAACAGCTGTCTCCAGCAGCGGAAAGCAACACCTTAACTTTTGTCTCTATCACGTCTTTTCTCCTACTGAAGTTAGCATGCTAACCAGCTAGCCCCGGCCCATCTCGCCATTTTCTAATAGCGACTCACTACAGCCTCCAATCTGCCCTGAACACGTAACGCTGCTCAGAGGGCGCATATAACCTGTGAACACAACGCCAGCGACAATCACCCCCCACCAGCTCCCGGCAGGAAACCAGCGTCGGTGGCAAAGAAACTTACAAATAGCCCCTTTAAAACAGGCAGCACGGGTTATGATTTTACCATTTGCCTTTGTTTTTGCTTCCAAATGCATCTGGCTTTGTTTCCAACCTGTCTGACTAATCGTGTTTTGTTCTTGTTAAAAATGCTGATGCAGTAACGATAGAAATGTTGGCCAAAAGTTTATAATAAGAAGTTTTAATAAACCACAATTATCCAAGACTTGCTTACAGACACCATCAAGGATCCTTTTAGGTACATTCTCAAATTGTAGAATTCACTGCACCACACGGGTATTATGTGTGTGTCTGCACGTCCAGTGTTTGTTTCTGTCTCCTTACCACGTGTTGTACAGGCATGGGCTGTGGGGCCACGGGCGCGGGGCTCCACTGTGTGGTCGACATGGTCTTATTCTGCCAGTTCTGGCCCCCTGTCAGCTTCTTCTCTCCAGGCTGGTTCCACTGCATCTCTGGCCTGGGGGAGGGATGAGCGGAGCAGCAAAAACACCAACACACTGTCAGGGTTGTGTTTTTTTTTTTTGTTTTCCCCTACATTTTCACCTGCTCAACCTGAGGCAACTTTCTCAAACAACACCAAAATCATGTGTTGGAAGCTTGCTCTATTTCTTTTTTTATCCTCCCCCCCCCCATGAAGTGCATCATGAATTTTAAAGAATAACGATATTGCTGCAGAAACATTGCCTTTAACGGTTTACAGAAGCACTTTGTCACAGACTTCAGCACATAAAACCAATTAAACACTTTACAGACTGTAGGTAGGATTTCTGGCAACAGTAGAGAGGTAAAACAGGAAGGTGTTTTTGCTGTGCCACTGCATAAAGCCTCTAGCCTGGACTACAAGCACACAACTTAGAGAGGTATCATCACAACTCCAGACACTCACTTCTTGGCTGGGGTCCCACCAAACTGCAGATCTAAGGAGGGACAGAAACAGACAAAGTGAGTGATCATAGTTTAAAGAGAAGGTATTTGCTCTCTGATTCGATCATATTTTAACTAGTTTGTAATATTCAAATGTTTTCAAGTCGAAAGTCTTCATAAAAAAAGGAAAAGTAAAAGATCTATGTTATATAAATGTTTTACCAGAAGGCAAAATACTACTTTACAGACACTGCAACGCTAGAGCAGAGACTGCTACGCGAGCACATGGATCTTGACACTCACTGCCCACGAGGTTGGCCAGAGAGGAGTCGAGGTCGTTGGCTAGCAGCTTTCCTCCAGGATGGATGGCCATTTGAGGAGGAGGAGGAGGAGGTGCGGTGTGTGTGGGAACTGTAGGCTTCAACAGGTCTCCTAGAGCATCAAAACCTGGTGGAGAAATGAACTTGTACATGTAAATAAGCTGGAAAAAAAAAAGAAAGCTTGTTTTTTGATAAGAAGTGGAAGAAGAAGAAGAAGAAATAAACACACAGGCGTTAGTATATCATACAGAGACATGGATTAGAGGAAAGCGAATGCAAGCATATCAGATTAAATGTGCAATTAAGAGTATATTGGACTAAAACATGTAAATCATTAGAAAGAGAAAATGGCATTGAACAGCAGAAGTCAAATCAAAGCTAAGAACTGTAACTAGACACGCTGGTCCGTCTTCCACATGTTAAAGTGGCGTACGTGAAGCTGTAGTAGAGGAGATACTCTGTATTCAAAGGAGTTTGGAGGGTGGTGTCTATTTAAAAAACAATAGCAAAAGTATAAGAACTGATTTGCACAACGCTTTTGTCAGCTTTTGTGTAAAGCTGCAAACATTAGCTAGCTTGCTTGCCACGGTGGTAACCAAGTGATACTTCCCCAGGCAAGGAGTTTTCATCAGCTAACTACACTTTGTGGAGTTACAGGTTACATCAAAGAAGCCACACAGTCACAGTAGCACATCCCAGCATTTTCCCAGGCCAGCCCTGGATGCTGCTATATCAGCCTTTAGGCTAATGTTAGCAGCTATGTCCTGCTCTTTGTTGGATATGGGGAAGTTTATACTCCCAGCTATCCTAGCTAATGTCACCCAAGAGTCTGCTATGTTTGCCAAAAACACTAGTTAGTCCTGATCTTCAAATCTTTTTCTTTTGTTACCGAACTAAAGGCTTTTCAACTAACTCCTGAAGCTAACAAGGCTAACTAATGAGAAGCCCGCTGTCTGAAAACAAAGACCCAATACTTCAAATTTTACAAAAACTTTAGCGTGGTAAAATCTGCAGCTGTTATAACTGTAAACTAAAAGCAACTGAACTATTATTTATAAAGCTGCAAAAATCAGAAAAACAGTGAGAGGGAACTCACGCTTGAGCTCAAAAAAGTTAGAGAACAGAAGAGCCTGGATCTATGAGCAGACATTCAATCTAATGAGAGCCGACACAACTTTCAACCTAATTTTTTTACCAACTTTTCAAAATGTCCACTTGCGGTTCAACTCGTTTTAATGAAGCAGAGCTGGACGGTTTTGATCTGAGAATATTGCTGAGCTGTACCCTCCTTAATATGAACCCAAAATCTCACTGCTTTCCTCGCTGTTAATTGAATTCTTACTGACCTATTTTTAGCATTTACCTACAAGGACAGAGATTCCTGTTTAAAGCAGATACAATCTACTCAGACTTTACTGTGATACAGGAGCCTCGCTCTATCAGCAGCGGGCCTATAATCCCTGACTCAGTAGCTTGCAGCACTTGTTTCTAGATGATTGATTTATCTGCTCGTTGCTGTCATGTAAACACTCCGACTCCGAACAGTGATTAGTTTTGAACATGTATGTGTGCGTGTCTGTGCGAGAGTGTGATCGTGTTTGTCCATGGCCGGTGGGTGCAAATGACGGAGTAATTTCCTGCATTCGTGTTGGTGTGTACTTATGTGTGTGTGTGTGTGTGTGTGTGTAAGCGCCTGTGTTAACAACTTCCCATGTCAGCACTCATTCAGCTAATGGCTCAGTATTACTCTGCTGGCAGAAACCCGGAGGTGTGCGTGTGTATGTATGGGTTTATATGTGTGTGTGCTCGGTGGAGCGAGTGGTAAACATGGCTGAAATAAAAAGGAGGAAAGAAAGTTGAAATTGAAAACCTTGTGATGTGAGCTGTTAATTTTAATGTAATTTTATACATGGGTGGGATTTCAACTCCTTTTTCTTGCATTATTGTTTCCTCTCAACATCAGTCATCAATTAGGAAATTTAAAAAAAATGGATACCTGGAGACAGGAAGTAGAAACAAAGTTCAGACAGGAGCAAGGCAACAACACAAAGCTGGACAGAATCAACACAAGAACGAGCAAGATGTAAATGCAAGACAACCACTGTACATGTACAGGATATGGGAGGAGAAAAAAGAAAAAAGAAAAAGAGGCAACTGTTGGTGGAAAAAAAGAGGGAGGAATAATATTTAGTTAGGAAGCGGTGTGTAGGTCTGACAGTGGTGCTGACACAAGAGATTCAGAAAACACTTTTCCTGCTAGCTTAGCAGATGAGAGAAACGAGAGAGAGGGAGCGGAGGGGGAAGCACACAGAGACAGAAAGACGTAGAAAAGACAGGAGGAAGAAAGTTAGAGACAGAAAGCAAAAAGGGTAATGAAGAAAGCAGGAAAGAGAGCAAGGGGGAGATGAGGAAAGGAGTAGTTTTGCCCACTATCTTTTTAATTCTCTTGAGGCTAATTTCTCTCCCACTGTCGGCATTTCCATTATTGTTGTCACTGTGATAAAACACTTTGGCAATGTGGGTGATTTTTTGTTTCTTAAACCACCGTGTCAGTAAAGCCCAGTGAATTAAATTGAAGCAAGGGAGCAATAGAAGAGAAGCAGAGATAAGAGGCGAGGGGGGGGGAGAAGGGGGCGACACACAAAAAAGAAACAGAGTGAAACAAGCCCTCTCAGTAGATCACACACACCACAGGGCAGTGAGAAGAAGAAAATGGATGGAGGGATTTGTGGAAGAGAAAGAGACGGAGGTAATGAAGCGAACACTGAGAGTGATGTATCGAACGAGGAGGATAATGCTACCAGCGTTAGCTTAGGTGTTTCGGCAACGGATTTGACAGTCAATCGAGTTTAAGATCAGAGAGAGGGAAGGAAGTTAATCCATGTCAAGGGTTCAATTCAAACACGCTGGGACGGAGAAATCTGTTACTTGCTACTAAATATGACAGAAATTTAAAAAAAGGCTGGATTATCCAAAGCCCCTTTTCAGACATGGAAGACGTAACATTGCTGACTCCACCTATCAGTTAAAGTGATGCAAATGTTCCTCAGCTCTTCGTTTGGCACTTGGAGTGTGAGAGGGAGTGGTGTCGTGTATATTTTCTTATTAGGCAAAGAAATAACTATTCACTTAGCACCACCCTCCCCTTATTCACCTGTTGCTATGTCTGTCAAACTTTCCATTATGACAGAGGAAATAAGCAGTTTACAATAAAAATTCCGGCACATTTACCACTTTAAAATCTCTTTTCAAGTGGTAAATGTTTAGGTAGACAAAAGCAAACTTTGCTGATCCAAACGACAAATTTCTGCAGTAGGTAGCTAGCTAATTAAACTACTGATGCCGTAGCTTTGTGAGTTGGTTGAAAACGCCGTCTCTGTTTGACATTTCGATGTTTCCAGCTGGCTCATTTTTAAATGACAACCCTGTAAAATGGGTCTTAGATATGAACTTGATACCTACGTACCTGACAGCATGCTAACAGACTCAAGCTAAAGCTGTTAGCTGTCTTTTTTCATTGCAGTATAGAGCTAGGTAGCCCTATGATGAAGAAAAACATAAGACTAAAGGGTTGATAGTTGCAGCCCTTATATTAATCAGACTTGTTTTATGGACATGTTACTAGGTCTGACTTAAGCCCCGTTTACACTCACACAGGGTTTTTGTCATCAGGTTTAATTGCATTTAGAAAAACCTGCTCATTTTGGTGTAAGTCTTTTTTTTTTTAGGGAAACATGATGAGTATTGAGTTTTACTTTCATACCAGGTATCACTCAATAGGGATGGGCGGAGCCACATTTTAACATGGAGACTGTGTCATTTTGTGTCAAAAATAGTCGGCACATAGGGTGAAAAAAATAATGAAAAAACAAGAATGAGGAAGCAGGTAAGACATACAGAGAGGCGGTTCTGTTAACAGAGAACAAAGCCGCCAATAAACAGAGAGACTGAGTCACTCAAGAGACAAAAACGGGACACAATGAACGATATCCATATGAGCAGAAACAGAAGCGAGAAAAACTTGAACTGCTTATTAAAGTTAATGATTTTTTTTCAAATGCAGAACTCTGAAACCTGATTTGAAAACCAACTAAGAATTTGAACACTGCATCCTGTGATGAGGAAGGATACAGCAAATACACCATTTGCTCAAAATCTCAAATACACTACAAAATAAATAAAATAAAACCAGCAATCTTCCACTGAAAAATAGAAGAAAAATTACATCCCTGAGCCTCTGTGGGGAAAAAGAAAAAGTACAAAAATAATTGCAGGGACTGTCAAAAAAGACGACGGAAACCAGATATGAACGATAGGAAATGGGAATACATTATAAAGACACCACAAAAGAACAAGTAGGCTTAAGTCACACATATGAAGTGTGCACTGCCCTTCAGAAAAAGCAAATCTCGACAAAAAAAGAGCAACAATGCCCCCAACTCTCTGTACGCCAAATCATGAACACATGTCAGCTAAAAGTGGACAAAAAAATTCCGATAAACGTGGACGATGGACTTTGCGGAGGAGACAGAGGACAAGAGAAAAGGACTTTGAATTGTAAATGTGAGGAGGGAGAGAAAAGAGGAGGAGGAGAGCAGATGGAAAGGAGTTGCCTGGGTGATTCTTGCCTTGTGAAGTGTGATGGGGAGACGATGAGGCAGAGACAGAGCAAGAGATGAAATAAATGGAGGGAGGAAGGAATGGGTGGGAGGAGGAGGAGGAGGAGGAGGAGGAGGGAGGGCGACGGTGTGAACAACAACAAAACAAAACAGACGAGCAGAAGCAGACAGATGGGATGGAGCAAAATGACAGACGACGTGCGAACACACGCAGACGTGGACACACGGTTACAAACACTAACAAATATACAGACACATGCGGATGCATTTAGATACACAGACGACGCATGGACGTGCGCGCACACACAAGGAAACAGAGACATACAGTAGCTGCACACACACACGCAGGGGTTTTTTTGTGAGATGCTGCCAGTTGCCCAGATGGTGTATTGGTAGTTGTAGTGGCAGCTTCCACACACGCTCTATTAATAGAAAGAAGTTAGTCTGTCCAAAGCCAGAACCAGGCGGCACACTGGAGCCACAAGCCTCCAACTGTTACTACTGAGCAGAGCAAAGGAGATTGACGGGTTTAAACAAGATTAGAGCGAGCCAGAAATCAGAATCTGCACCCAGGACTGCTTAAATATTTACTGGAAACACAAAAGAAACAGATCTACACTGGAAAATGTTTGAAGAAGTAATGCTACAGCTGCACAAATCTGACTAAATAACCCTAATTATGACGATAAAATGGCTCCAACACATCATGAAATCCCCGCTTTCTGTGGGAAAATTTAAGAAACACCTTCACATTTCACAATTTTAAGATTATGAGACTTACTCTGTATGATTATCCTGTTTCGATCAAATCTTACAAATTAGTTTGAACGACAAGTGCAGCGACTTCTGGGGTGAAACAGCTGGCTAATTAACCCTGGCAAATTTCCAGTAATGCTGATTGATGGGCGCTGTCTCTGTGAAAATAGGCTCAGCTAGAAAAAGACAGGAAATAAGTCCGGACTTAGAAATCGTGACGAGCGTGAGATCTCAATGTGGACCAAAAAAAAAAAAAAAAAATGTGGAGCAGCTCGTTGATTTTTCAAAACTTCCCACAGAAAATCACACAAAAAATTAAAAAGCTCTGGGGAAAGATGATGCCATTTAAGTTTCATACTGTAACTTCCTCTGAACTCTTGCAGTTTAAACCTGCAACCTCTTTGCTCTGCCTTCATGATGAAAACAGCCTTTAGATGACCTCTGCAGGTAGTCGCTCTTATCTGCTGTACCCTCCTTTGGAGCTGAGGGAGAACTCGCCAAGCCTCAAAATTATACACTTCGCAGGAGCGTCTTGGGACCCAAAAGGGTTGAGAGGCACCGGGATTGATTGTGTCAGTTGTTGAGAGGTTAAAAGAAGGTAAGCTAAGAAGTGGGCTCGGAGCCAGAGTCTCAGACCTGCAACACTTAAGAGCCATCAGTCGAAAGCTGTTACAGTAACAGGCAGGAAACCACGACCAGACAGGATGAAGTAATTGGAGAAAAAGGTTCCTACACATTGTCTACTCCAATCAAGACTTTCAGATGTGACCTCCAAGATTCTGGTTGGTGATTAAATGATATAGGTCAAAGGTTTCAGGAAGTAAGTCTCAAAATAGTTTTATGACTGATAAGTATCCGGGAAAAAAAAGAAGCATAAATAAGACTTCAACAATAAGATCTGTTTGGACGTGTGTAGGAACCCTGAGAGAAAAGATGAGTTATTGAGGAAAACCAGGGCTGGGATCAGTTAACTTTTGGTTCAGTTGGATGAAAACAAAACCCTAAAATGAACTTATGATTTACACTTAAAAGCCCTGACAACCGATTTTCTCAAACAGTCTTCAAAAAACATCATGTCAATGTGCTTTTTCTTACTCATTTAAAGTGGGCGGGGCTCTATTGATGCCATAAAACTCTGTGCGCCGTACAAGATTTGGCAATATTTAAATCAAAATGACAGCTGACAGTTGTGGAGTTGTTACTGTTTGTTGTTAATTAAATCTGATCAGACCACACGTAACAAATAAATAACATCAACAGATGATGTTTCTTTCCCAAACATTAACTGAAACTGTTGCCTATTTAGTCCCAGAATATGCACTGTTAAAGATCTGAAAGCTTTCAGGGGCTTTAATTATAGATAAAAAAAAAAACAAATTTGTCAAGTAACTTGAAAATCCGACTGAAGTTAAAGTTAACTGACCTCCCTGATAGAGTCAGGTTCATCGTCATTAGAAACTCTGTAAGAATTCAAACAACAGCTTATGCGGCAGAGTTAGAAAGCTAAAAACACCCCCACCCACCCACCCGGCAGCAGGAACAACCACAAGTTGCAGGAACTGGTCAGAGGGTTAGTTAAATGCTATGCTCGAGCTGCCAGCAAAGCCAAAAAAAAAGGTTTTAGTTTTCAGTCTGGCTCTGTCTGGACAGTCAGACAAGAGCGGGCTTTACCGGCTGCAGGTTGTGGGCCGTTGTTACTGGGTGCGGCATTATTCCCAAACACAGCATCGAAATCTACAGTCATGGCTGCTGGTGCGGTCTGCTGCAGAGGCTGGCTCTCCAATCCTGAGGGAGGCAGTTAAACATGACTGATTAAAGCCCTGTTCGTGCTGGTAAAGCTGCATGAGACTAGTTTTATCTGACATATTTTACAATATATATACACATCAGATGGTGATTTTGTGGGGACCAGATACATAGCTTTGAAGTGTTGAGGATTCCACCACCTCCTGCTAAACTAATCCCATTAGATTAGGAACATGGACCTTACAGTCTCCAGCGTACTGCCATTGTTGTTGCTTAGTAACTTGAGACTTTGTGCAAGCTGTCGGGAATATCGGGCTTTCAGAGGAGTGTTAAGCCTGTGCACGAGGAAATCCACTGATGCACCTTTTGTTTTTTTGTCTTCATCCGCATCCCTGTTGGGGATTAGGATTTGAAACCTCAGAGAGAGGCTGCGTTTGTGGGATCCACGAAAACAAGAATACACGAGACAGTAAACCACAATGGCTATTAATAAACATGACGCCGTCGTTCCAGCTAACCTTTCAGGAACACGACAGGGGAAACAACCATTCATCAAGATGATTTACGACTGACAGACTGTAACTAAACCTGACTAAACATGGCAGATAGAGAACAGGCTTCCAATAACGTCTGTGTGTAAGAATCATCCTTTTCTACTGAGACTTACCTTAACTAGCATCTCACCTTACATGTAGACGTACATTATTATTGGCAATTATACCGCGATACAAGTTTTAATATTACTGGTTAAACAGGTGCTATAACTAACTGTCATGTCTGTCCATTAAAGATGACGCTACAGCTTGTTAGCTTAGCTTAGCAAAAAGACTGTAAACAGCTCTTTCCAAAGATAACAAAACCCAACTGTAAAGCTCACTAATTAACCTGTTATTTATAGGTCTTTTTTTAATGCGTACAAAAACCTGTTTAAAAATGATAATCCGCCTTTTGATGAGGGTGTTATGTGCCCGCAGCAACCAGGAAGTTACTGCTCCAAACACTGAAATATCCTGCACACAATCCTCCACCTAAACCGACAAACCGATGCTTTTGCATGTTGATTTTTGTACAGATTTTAGATATTACATGTTAGCTAGTGAGCTTTACAGGAGTGGGTTGGAGGATTTTGTTACTTTTCTCCGTCTTTCCAGTGTTTAAGCGACGCTAAGCTAACAAACACACATGAAAACAGAGATCGATCTTTTCCCAAAATGTCAAATTATCCCTTTCAAACAAACATAAATATTGTCGTCTGTTTACTGCCTGACAGAAGGTCCAACAGTGCCGTGTACATTAAGAGCCGTGGACGTTCAGTGAAGGGAGTGTCCTTTGTGTTATTTTTGAGAGAAGCACAGGGGATAGTTATCTGAGCTCCTGTGTCACAGCCACTGATAGTGTGAGGCGCTGATATCTAAGCTAAGAAGTGGATCTGACTCTGAAGTCTGGCCAAACTCTTTATAAATGGCTTCAGTTTAATCCTCTGCCATAAAGCCTATAATACTCTGTGCTAACAGTACTTCTAGATGCATCTTAATGCTACTTTTTGATTTGAGATAGCTGATTGCAAGCTGAAATGTCAACTCTTTTTTTTTTTTTTTTTTTCCAGAAACGGTGGGAGGATGTACTGTACGGCACAGTTAATCTGTGGATGTGTATGTTGCTGCTCGGCATTTCAGCAGCAGTGAGACAACGAGGAGAAGGGCGGCTGAATCTCTGCTGACATTTCCCCAGACTGGTTTATTGAGCCGCTCAGAGAGTGAACACATGGTTACAGGATTTATTATTACAAAACACTGAGTGTTTAGAGCGAAGACACCTGCACCTGAAACTTGTTTGACTGTGTGTCTGCACAAGGAGCTAGCTCGTCATGCAACATTAGTTTCTGAAGAAACGGGGGGGAGAATGATGGTGGGTGGGATGGATGGTTTTCATCAAAAGATAAATGAATGGTCTGACAGACGGATGGCGAGACAGGTGGATGACTGGCCAGGGGGAATATTTCTGAAATAAATTCATTTGTATATGTGTAGGTGGTGGGTGCCGTATTTGCATGTCTGCAGCTCTGCTGCTGCTTTCATATATGTGCAAATGCACCGCAGATTTTTCTATGTGTGTACAAGTGTGTGTGCGTGTGTGTGTGGGTAGCGTACCTCCCCAGGCACTGTTGGCGGTGGAGATCGAAGGAGTGCTCTGCACAGCGGGGATGAAGGCCGGCTGAAGATCAAACAGGTCACTGTTCAGATTGGGCACACTGAGGAGCAAAAGAGGAGGAAAGAGAGGGAAGGAAAAAGGGATAATGAGAAAGAAGAGAGACAGAGGTGGTGAGAGGAGAGGAAAATGAAGCACAGGGAGATGTGAGAGGTGATGGAGAGGAAAAGAAACCGAGTGAATACGTCAGTGAGAGATAAAAAAGAAAGAACGGAGGGATATAGAAAGACAGATGAAGACGGAGCATTAATATTTAATCAATCGCGCATAAATAGCTAAAGCCACCACTAAAAATGTTCATTTGTCACAGATAAAGATTAATCCTCTCTCTCTCTCTCTCTGAAGGGCTGTAAAAATTCCAACGGAGCAATAAAACAGTTAGGAGCAGTAAATTTAGAGCGAGCTACAGCGTGCGCATGTTGAGTATTAAATCTGTTCTGATTATCAAAAATGAATAGTCTACCTGTGACTCTTACGGCTGCAGTCAGTCAGGGAGGTGTACAGGGATCCGCTCTGTTGTGGCCGATCGAGCGCTTTTTAAGTGCCACTGACTTTACAAATATTTACTGTGAATATCACTTTATATGGGAACAGTTAACTTCCAAAACATTTATCATGTCTGGGTCTCTGAAGCCACGGCAGAGGAGCAGAGAGGACTCTGAAATAGTTGTTCAATATCTCAAAAATTACTTAAAGGATAAAACTTGATAAAACACAACCAACATTGTGTTTGTCCACTTCTCGCTGCCTTCTGACTTCCCTGTCTCGTCTGTGGCTCGCAGCCCGACTGAAGATGTGAACGTTTAAAAATCAGTCACCAATGTATATTTTGATTTTTAAATAGGTAAGATGAATAACATCATACACAGGTGGGTCCTGCAGATATTAGCAAACATTATCCAGACAGGAGGAAATGGTGCGTTTTCTATTTTCAAGTTTAAGGCTCTCATGAGTATTTATTGCAGCAGGACAGTGCAGGATAAACGGGTCTGGTAATGCTAATTATATCAGACGTTATTATTGTTGGCAGGATCACTCCACCATTGTTTTGGACTTATGCTTGAAGTTGGTTACATTTCCTGCTTTTTAAAAAAACTTGTAGCCACACTTTGCTTTTTAATTAATGAACATCTTGATGTATGCAGAGGGAAACTGGTATGTTCATGTGTGTCTTCTTCTGTGTGTGTGTGTGTGTGTGTGTGTGTGTGTGTGTGTGTGTGTGTGTGTGTGAGAGAGAGAGAGAGAGAGAGAGAGAGAGAGCACCTGTTGGCAGACAGCGTGGAGCTGAACAACTCTGGGGTTTGTGTGATGTGGTTGTTGTTGGCGAGGCCTATCGACTGGCTGCTGGGGGAGGCAGAGGGCGGAGTCTGCATGCTGATCTCCTTCAGGCGCTGGTCCTGGAAGACAGACACACACACACACAGACACACACAGACACACACAGACACACACAGACACAGACAGACAGACAGAAAAAAAAGCACAATGTGATCAGGAAGACGATGGTTAAACAGTAATTTCCCTCTGGAAATGAATAAGAGTTTGTTTCCAGTAAACTCAAATCCTGGAAAATGACGAGCATATTTTCTCTCACGAACATACACAGGTGGGCACAGAGATACGTGCACGTAACTCTCACAGAGAGAACAACACCCAACATGAAATGTTATAATATTTCTCCAGCATTTCTGCCGCTTATTTCACACCAGCTGTAACTTCCTTGTTCAGAGAGACCTGTGAAGCATTTAATCTCTAAAATGCCCAATGTTGAGTCATTACGAGTGAAAACATAAAGCAGAAGTTTAAATGTGTGCGCTTTGGTGACACTCAGTTAGTTTTTGGCTTTAGATTTGAGACTTAAAGGCAGGCCTGCATCCAACTGAATTTCCAAACTCAGTTTATTGCTTGGTTTCTCCTGCCAAAGTTTTGCCTGGTGGTGCGGGATTCAGCACACACAATATAATGACAGACTATTAGTTTCAAGTACTTTAAAACCAACCAATTATATTGGCTTTCTGTGACAAAAAAAAAAAAAAAAAAAACCTCACCCAACAGTGCGAGTTTTTGTTGCCATGCTGAAAAACCCTCAACCCCATCTCCAACAGTAAGTGACTGTGCTCTGCTGAGACCCAGGTGCAGCTGAAATGCAGACTATTGTTCTCTCCGGTGACAGATACACGAACATCAGCAAAGTCCAGCCAAAAACAAACAGCAACAAAAAAAATAAAAATAAAGCTAAACTGAAATAAAGTCAAAAACAGAAGACCGGTAGGTTTTGAATTGTGCTTTGTTTTTCAGTTGATTCAATGATGTAACAGTGTTAAGATACTGCTGATGTTTGCCCAACAACCAAACCAGACCTTTTCAAGTTTCACGTTTCAAGTCTCAGACTGGTCTCAGGTCAGAAACACTTCCTGTTAACACTGTGAAACTACCAGAGGTTGTTTTACTTGCTGATCCGAGATCAACACTCCAGCGCTTTGAAGGTGTTTCTGCACATTTAAAAGAAAAAGAAGAAAAAAAAAAAAATCTCTCCCTGCCTCCTCCAGACTTTCATTTCTTGCATGAATTTGAAGGTTTTGCTTCGGGGTCAGTTTGACGCATGCTGGTAACAGCAGGGAAATCCGACTCTCAACAACTTCCTACCACTCTGTGTTTTCAAATGATTCTTGTATGGCAACAAGTTTTAACGTTGGCCGAAACAACAGTGGGTTTTTAAAGCTAAATAAAAGGCATTATTTATATGCAGTATAAGTGTTGCACCCTGTTCCTCTGTGCAGTTTAGATAACATATTCAGCCTGCCAGCACTGTTTCTGAGTTATCCCATAAGTGACTACATTAAATTGTATTGCCTTATGGATTGATTTTATTTCATTGTTGTTGCTCGTATTATTTCATATTCTGTACGTCTCATACTGCTTATATTCCATCTGTCTATATTTCCCACTGGATCTTATTACTTTTGCTGCTGCAATGACCTAATTTCACCACAGGGATCAATACATTTGTGTCTTATCCTGTGAGAGCATGTACTGGGAAATAACACTTTTTTTTTTTTGTTTGTTTGTTTGTTTTTTTAAATCACAACATGTACTGTTTGGTGGACAAGGAAAGCAATTTACAGTACAAGTGAGGTGTAGATTTTAAGTATGGATGGCCACAGTGGGAATGGAAATGCTGCTGCCCATTTTATTTACACGTAGGTCGCCCAGGTGCTTTAACTCAGCTCAGAAATCAAACATTAAGGTATGGAAATGATCCAATTCCCTTTACAACCTTTTCTACCTCTAAAGGAATTTGGAGCAAATTAATAACCAGGATCTCCTGCTGTAGCAGCCTCAGCCGAGCAGAGTCCAGAGTCTTCATCTGTATTCTGACAGTGCAGCGAGGAACAAATGGGAACTGCTGTTATTGTTTGGGCTAAGACCCCAGCTGGACAGTAGCTGAGTGTGTAAGTGTTTTTGTATGTGTGTGTATGCGTGCGTCGAGTCCATATGGACACCAGAGCGCGCAGACAGCTGGACTTGAGTATTTTGGACGACCCCTGCTGACCCCCGGCTCTCTCGCTGTGTTTCTTACTCTGTTATGTTCTCACTCGCACTTTATCTTCCCTCTCCTCTCTAACTAAAACCCAAAAGGTAATCAGTGGACCTTGGCAGAAACAGGGCAACCAAGGGCACGGCTAAAATCCAATCAGCCGTGCGCACAAACAAACACACTGAGACACACTGGCAAGCACACACTGCACTTAATCCGCCAGGATATACACACGCGTCGTATACACACACCGATCAACAACACTCACTGAGATACTGGCAACACTACTAGACACATACTGTATCTTCTCTGCCAGGATGTAAGCATGCTTAACATGCACACAAACACACACACACGTGCACGCACGCAGACACACACTGAGCTGCTGTGTGCCTGTTTTGTAGCTTCACTGCTCTTACTCAATTACAGTTTGCTGTAAGGCAGGACTCCCAAGGCTGGAGCAAGAAATGTCAACACATTTTACACTTGACTTTTCTATTGCTGGGCTCACCACTGAGAATCTTGGCCTTTATCCTCAACTGGAGTTCAGAACTCAACAAACAGCAAAGTTGCTGGGCAATCTATCAGCAACAACACAGTCAAGCCTGATATATATATATATATATTTATTTATTTATTTATTTATTTATTAACTATTTGTGCCATTTCTCAGAGTTCAAATGTTCTGTGGTTGCTGCAGCTTTTGCAGTTTGTTCTCTCTCTGCGAGCACAGTCACAGCGGCGTCTTAAATCTAGGGCAATGACTGCAGTTACACTTGTCATTTTGAGCTGATTTTTTTTTTTTTTTTTTTTTTTGCAATGTGATTCACTTCAGTTCAGAAGATCAAATTCCTCTCTTGCACACGCTCAGACCTCAAAGTTGCTTCTGCACATCTCCTGTTTCGGTATCTATTAAAAAAAAATCTGCAGCGAATTATTCTCAGACATTTTCCCACTCTTCCATACCTTCTCCTCCCGAGAAGCTTTTAATTATGTAACAGGTTCTGGAGGGGTTTTATAGCTACCATGTCTAATGTTGTGGATGTGTTTGCAGTACGCCCAAAAATCTGAATTTTGTGTGTCCAGTCCGTTTCCCTAGAGCATTTCTATATAAACCAAAGCTACACTAAAATGACAGGAAATAAACTAAAATTATATATTCAGGGTGAATACAAAAATAACTACAAGATGCTTCACAGACAAACCGTTATGAAACATAAGCTAGAATTAACACCAGAAGCCTTTTTACTGGCTTGACACAAACAAGAAATTTGACCTTGGTTCCCTCTGAACACACAGTGCAAACAAAAAAAAAAAAGACAAACAGCATGAATATTTACACAGACATGGAAAGATAAAATGCAAGACAAGGATAAACTATGTGGTGGTGGAGGAAATTACTACACTGAATGTGGTTTTAAATGCCCCATTTACATCTGGCATTAACGCCCGATCGATATCTGGTTAAAGAAAAACACATGTTAAAGTGGCAGCGCACCAATTTACACATTTAAGGTTGTTTACAGGTCTCGGGGAGGAACTAGTGCCTCTCTGCTCAGCTATACACCCAAATCTTCAACAGTAATTTCTGGGAAATCAGTCTCATTAATATGCAGATTTATGTAGAAAGGTGCTCCAAATCTAATCAGATCATCTTTTCCATATGGAGTATCTGTAGTGTAAGTATGAAGGACGTACTGCAGAACTGCTGTAGCACCTGAGAGCTGCTTGAATGAGGGTAAAAAGGGAGGTGGAGGTAGATGGCAGTAACCATTAGCCCTGCTGCTGCTACAGTGCCGAGTCTGACCCCGTCGTTCAGAGGTGATCCGGTTTAAAATCTGTTACCTTGAGAGCCTGCAGTCTGGCCTGCTCCTCCTCCAGGGCCTGCTGCTTCTCCTTCTCGTCCATGCGGCTGAAGGACATGCCGGTGGAAGAGAGAGACGAGACGGCGCTGGAGAGGGTGGACGCTCTGGAGCACAGCAGACAGGGAGCAGAGGGGACAATCTTGAGAACAAAGTTTTATATATTTTCTCAAAGGAACTGATTCTGAGGCTTTTGAAATCTGCTTTGAAAATCTGCTTTGTGCGTGGGTGTGTTTGGAAAGTTTTTCAGCTGTGTTTTGGGTGTCATGTCTTTCAAGGAAACCTGATGTAACTGGCAGGCAATTAAGACGTCTAACCTGGTGTCTGCATTCAGCTCCTTGGTCTTCTTGCCCTCCAGAGAGGCAAGGTGCTGCTCTAAAGCCTCCAGGAGGCTGCTGGGGGCCTGAGAGGGAAACGAGTATGGGGAAAAGGAAAAGAGAACATTAAAAAAAAAATAAATAAAAAATATCAGTAATCATCTCAACTTTCTGGATAATCGCTCTCTCTTTCCATCTCTTTCTCTCTCATATGCACCCACACCCACACACACACACACACACACACACACACACACACACTCTCACACAAACACAGCACCCAGAGTTAGTTGGTCTCACAGGAAGGTAACAAGAGTGCATCAGGTTCCAAGAATAGCCATGGCAACATGCAGCAAACACTCGCACTGTTAGCAGGAGACTCGAAAGGAGAGAGAGAGACAGAGAGACAGAGAGGGAGAGGGAGAGAGAGAGAGAGAGAGAGAGAGAGAGAACAAAGGAGGAGGTTTGAAAAACAAAGAGCGAGGAAAAAGGTGGAGTACGGAGGGAGAGGTCGCGCCATTTCTTCTCCCGGCTCCACATGAGCAGAGGGCGATCATTTCTGTGGTTTCTTTCATTCTTTCCATTCAGCTTCCCCATTTGCTGCGTGTTTTTTTTTGCCTCTTTGTCTTGCTTACACTGCAGTGTCCCCCCATCGCACCGAGAGGTCCCGTCATCTTTACACAATGAGTGCCAGGGTGCACTCTGTACCTCCGACTTGTCCGCACGTCTCCGCTGTGGTTTTTTACTCAATCTATACATTAATTCCACTTGGGAGATGGAGATTATACTCTAATCTTTTTTTTTTTTACCTTTTCTTAATTACTTCACCAGAAAAAAACAACAAAAAAAAAACGAGTGAGGCCAAGAGTCTCTGAATTGTGCTTTGTCGGAGGATGACATAAGGAAGTAGCATTAAATCTGAGCTCAAACGTTCTGGAGTACAAGTTATCGAGCAGGTTACTTGGGGATTGTTGCTACGCTACTACAGAAAACAACAATTCAGCTGCAAATGCGAGTTGAGCTCCAATTGTTCACATTGCACAACACGATGTCTTCTGTGCTTGTTAGGAGCCTCATTAATGCTCAAAAAACCGAGGGAAACAAGAGGGCGAAAGCGAGCCAGACAGCTGCATTATTACGCACATCTACAACTTAACACTCAGGAAAAAAAAGAAAAAAAGAAGAAGAAGACATAGCTCTGCTCTCTTCTAGGCTGAGGAGAGAGTGAGAGGAAATGCTTCCACTGTGAAAATATGACAACGTCATGTCTGTCTTCTCCGTCCACAAGAATGCAAAGTGTGCTGTCAGTAGCGCTGCAGACACAGACACACACACACATTTGGGAGTGTTTTGGCTTCGGAGCCCTTTGTGGCCGGCTAGACGGTGGGTTCTTGCCAAACTGTTGCCTGGTTGTTAAAGAAACAGCGACTTGCATGAGAGAAAGAGACCCCCATTTAACTGTCAGTGGGTCTGAATAGGTGAAAAGAAGACCTGGTCAATATTAGCTCTGACACACACAAACACACACACACACTCAGTGGGGGCGTCTGTGTTTCCTCATCTACCGACGGCCGCACCTCTCATCTAAAGATATTTAGTGCAAGCACTAACTTTGGAAGGCAGAGAGACGTAGAAGAGAAGTCGTCAGAGAAATAGAAAATTAAGAAAAGAGAGCGAGAGAGACCCCCCCCCCTTTTTCCTTTCTCATGTTTCCTCATGTTTTTTTTTGTAACAATGATTACATGGTAATGCTCGGGTCAGTCGCTATTAAAGCACCTCCACCATGCATGTTGAGGCAACGATGTCGTGCATGACAAATATGAAATAAACAACATCTACGGAGGGGATGGAATTTAAATGAGTGAGTCCAAAGCCGGTGCAGGGATTCTTTCATGCAGATGAAGACAGAGGGGCGGAGGGGTGAAGCCTCATTTTCTATTCATGAGGTTTCATGCCCTTTTGCTTGTCGTGCCAGAGCTCTCTCTGTGTGTGTGTGTGTGTGTGTGTGTGTGTGTGTGTGAGTGCTACAAGCAAGCCACCTGAGGCCGGCACACACGTATTGGACTGAGTCGACACCATATCGCTCCACACTGACAACAACGAAAAAAGAAGCATGCCTGTGAGTGTATAAGGTGTTAGTGTGTATGGTTACACACACACACACACATACGTGACCAAGTGTGATGTTCATGCAGGGTGTGTGGGGAGGGGGGAGGAGGGGGGGAGGTTAAGCAGGTTGGAGGGGGGAAGCAGTACAGTATGCAACCCACCACCTACAATGTATGATCCTTTTGTTTTCTGCGACAGAGGAGGGAGAAGAGAAAAACGTCTATTTAATTTAACGACTGCGAGGGAACTGAGCAGTTTTACTACAACACAGTCGACCCACATGATGTTAACGACCAAGGTCACGTTCCACCGTGAAACCATACAGCTGTGTGTGAGGGATCTCCAGACAGAAAAAGCATCAAAAGTCGCCAAATTTACAGTGTAAGTAGCGGTGGTTAAGTAAACTGTAAACCCACTCATCGTTATTTTAAGTATCAATGTTTTTCGGCCTGATGTGTATCTTCATGTACGCCAGGAGTCTCTCTGAGGCCGTCCCACGAACCATTAGGAGGATAAAAACCATGCTTCAAGCAATTCCTCTGAATTCACAACTAGGTAAAAAGGCAACTTTATCCTTGACGATTAAAAACAGAAATGATGTAGTTCATTCCCTTGTAGTGTTGCCTTCTTGTTTTCAAGTCTTTTGTTGTTGCAATTATCATTATTTTTTTATTCTTTTTTGTAGATTCAAGGTCTAAGCTCATTATCCGCAGTTGCTCAAGGCTTTTTAAATCCACGTGATGAAACCTGCGTCGGGCCTGCCGGTGGCGGAGTGTTTAACCGGGCCGACTTAACACACATCAGCCTGTTGTTCGATCTATAACGGGGCGTTTAGAAGTGAAAGAGATAGGAGGAAAGAAAAAAAAAAAAAAAATCAATCAAACCAGAGAAGAGCTGCCTAGATTTAAAGAGTAAGATCAGGTTAGACGAGATGGTTCTTTGAAGTAAAAACGAGTGGGTGGAGAGTGAAGGGGAGAGAATGAGCGAACAATTGGTGAAAGGAGGAAGGGGGGGGGGGTTACAGGTATATGTTAAGGGTGAAATAAGGTGTGAAAGCAGAGAGGGAGAAGTGAACCACATGTACTTGTTGAAGGGAAAGTGAGAAAAGATTAGCTGGAAACAGAGGAAAGAGAGAGAGAGAGAGAGTGGAAGGTGAGATGTACACTGACCTGTGAGAGATCTGGGATGTCACCCTGATCTATTCCAACTTGCTGTCATCCAAAACAAACAAATCAACAAAATAAAAAAGGGGAGAAAGGAAGGTGGGGTAAAATGGAGAAGAAATAAAATAAAAGAGAAGGGCAGGGGGCATTTAAAAAATAAACAAAAAAAAAAAACAGATGAGAAAGAAAAGAAAAAAACAGGGGAATCATTACTTCATGCAGTGGCAGTGTCAACATAAACGACAACAGAAATAAACAAGAAAAAGTTCTCCACATCTGGATTGGCCGATGAGGCGACCAATCCCGACAGTGAATGACGATGATGACTGTACAGTGATAAATATGTCTGACCAATGAGGGAGAGAGCGGGCATGAACGACTCATGAGTGATGACATGACAACATTAAACACATTTATATAAAGAGGACGGCTACATCCAGATCATCTCCAAACTGACTCATAACTTAAGACAGATCACATTTGTGGGAACAAGTTGACTTTGTTAGACACAGATAAAAGAACATTGAGGCCTCGTCTTTTTCATAATCATTAACTTGACCTTGGTTTTCTTTCTTAACAAGCGTTACACAAACCTTTAATGTCATAACAGTTGATAAGAGTGAACTCATTCTAGACATTTAGCTCCCTGCTTTTTAGCTTTGTAAATATTCATGAGGGGCTCATATATAATGTCACAATTATCCATGTGAATCCAGGTCAAAGTCTTTGATTTTAACAATTAAACTTGAAGCACAGAGGAACAAATACGTAGTTAAGGACACAGGGGGAAAACTTAAAAGCAATGTTGACACAGACCAGAGTTAAGACAACAGGCCTTTTTCACTGAACACGTTTTCACATGTCACAATAAAGAAAGAATAGATGTAAATAGTAAAATTAAAGATGGCCTAACTTCATTTAGCCACATCAGTTTCAGGAGCTGATATTGTGCATGTTGGCTCTGTAACCCTGGCTTCACGTCTCAATTAACTGTCAGTAACAATATTTTGAAACATATGCGAAGGTTTCTTTAACAATAAGTTAAATCTAATCAATTTAAGAGTTGGTTGATGTTTCATGGTCTGTTTTTATTCTGGATCCTATGGAGGATGAAATGTGCCTTTTTCATAAATAAGCAGAAAAAAATTAAAAACTTATGTCCGTTTTGCAGGCGGTCCATCTAAGTCATAACAAACAGACTATTTTTGATCGTTACACCTTTGATATAAATTTGGATTTATTCAATTTTTGCACGGCAAGGCCCCATTACATTCTCCGCCGTGTATTGTATCTGGATAATTTTTTGCAACAGGGTGTTTTTTTTTTTTTTGTGTGACAATGACCACGACGCCTGTCAAGACAAGAGTCTAATCTATCAATACACATATTACATGTCTGAGGAAGTTCGACATTGTGCTGGCATCCTGTGGGCAGAACAGTGGGTGGCTAAAAGTTAAAGACCACAAGTTTCCAGCCTGTTTACCTGCACCACTGTGACAACATGATGCAAAACCTACTGAGAAAGTTTATGGATTTAAAACACGTTTTATTACATGTGATTTTTTTTTTACTAAAAAGTTCTGTATTAGAGAGGCTCATCCAGTTGATGGTATAAGTTTAGATTCCAGAGTTAAGCTTAAAAAAGGTGTTGACACATTTGAGACGAGAAGTGTGAGAAAAACTCATTAGTTTATTCCCTGGATGTGACTGTTTTGTTTTTTATAATTGAGGACCATTATTTTAAGTTCTATCTGTAAAAAAAACTAAAACAAAAAACAGAAAAATACACACTTAATTGTCCAGGGAGCTCCTCAAAACCTAATTATAAAAGACAAAGGAGTTTGATTGGGACCATTTATTTGAATGTACATTAATGCAGAAATATGAACCGCTGTTGTAGTTTCTTGAGCAGGAATTGATTCCTGCTGTTTCAAAATCCGCTGAAACAAAGGAGGGAGGGAGGGAAATAAAAGAGGGATGATCTGTGGGCACAGGGCGAAAGAGAACCGCACAAGTATCCATCTTTGTCAGGGGGGAGAGGGAAGAGCGAGGGAGAAGAAAGGATTAGATGGAGGAGTGTGGGGAGCAGGGGGAGAGGGAGCTAACGGAGCGCCTAACCACATCCTCCATCTTAGGGTTATTTTGGGTGTATATAAATATATATATGTGTGTGTGTGTGTGTGTGTGTGTGTGTGTAAGTGTCTGTACAGCAAATGTGGGGCAGTGAGGGTAAGTCAGGTACTCCAGCCTGCACAGAGTACAGTAGCTGAAGGAGCAAAATTATGGCTGTATGGAGTTTTTATGTGGAAAATACACGCTTACAAGTTGTGCTTGAGAATGTGTGTGTAAATATATCCGTGTCAGGGGATGTGATCAGGACAAGAAGGGGAAGAAAAGACGAGGAAAAGGGAACATTTGAACAGGAGTTGCTCTTCCAAAAAAACATTGAGGTAAAAATCGACCCGTCAAAATCTTTTTCCAGATGTGTGTGCGTACGTGCGTGTATTTCTGTGTGTGTGTGTGTGTGTGTGTGAACATACCTCGGCCACTTTGAGGAACTCTGACAGCTTCGTCATCCTGTAAAGAAATTTCTTGTAGATGTCCAGAGCATCTTTACACTGGTTCTTCTTCATGTCAAAGTATTTCTCTACAGACACAGAAAGGAAGAGGACAGGGATAAATAAAGATTTAAGAAGGAAACGGAAAAGGAAGGAGCGAAGGAAGGAAGGAAGGAGGCAGGAACAATCAGTGCATGATTGAGTAGAGACAAACAGGAGCACTTAGCAGCTACATGACAGCTTGTCAGAACCTACCACTGCTGCCGTGACAACCAGACTGTGAGCACATATGTTGGTGTGCGTTTCTGTTGGGTTTATATCTGCCACAGAAAAGTGTGTGTGTGTGTGTGTGTGTGTGTGTGTGTGTGTGTGTGTGTGTGTACTGCAAAACAAACTGAATCTATACTTACACCTCATCATTTCTGACACATCTTTGAGAGAGAGCATCAACTGGCTCACTTTAGGCTGTATTTGTACTGGCAGTATGTGTGTGCATGTGTGTGTTCATGTGTGTGTGTGTGTGTGTGTGTGTGTTACCCAATAGGTTGATGACCCCTTCATTGTAAGCAGCAAACAGCCTTATGGAGTCTTTGAAGAGCAGCATGAAGGCTGAGTTGATCACTCCGTTGGTCAGCTCATTAGGATTGGCCTGGTGAGAAGAGAGAGGTAGAGAGAAAGTGGCAGAAAAAGAAAAAGAAACAGGGAGAGACGGAGACGGTAAAGGAAACATCTCTATCACATCTTTCCAAAGCTTTTCACAGAAAAAAAAAAGAAAACATCTCTTTCAAATATCCCCAAACATCTTTCTCCAAATAGCGGCACCTCTCCCCGTTGGCATGAAGCAAACACATCACTGCACACCGCGCAACTGTCAATTTAGTTTAGGTGGTGGGGAGAAAAAAAAAAAGCAAGAAAACATGCACACACTCACAAACACACACAGGCAGACTCTCAAGAAGTACACACACATACAGTATGCACTCCTATGAGAAACTTCACCATCCATTTTCATCGCCCTTTGAAGCTCGTGGGCACAAACCACAATGCACCCACCAATTTCAGCAACTCCCCACCCAATACCCTTCTCCCCTCTGTGCACACACACGTGCACACATACGTGCACACACACGTGCACATACACACACACAAGAATGAAATCTGTCACCATACTATGCTTCTTAGACTCAAACTTTGCAATCTGTTGTTTCCATTAACATTTTGATAGAAAAGTGAATCAACCACAACTTCGACAACAAGAATGCATAATGACACACACATTACGCACAGCACACACAACACACACACACTTAGTACCTGGAAATCCAGCAGAGCATCCAGCTGGTTCTGAATGATGGGCAGCGTCTTGATCAGCTTTTCTGTGTTCATGGTGCGCATCACACCGTCAATCCTAACGCAGGAAACAAAAACACACACATCAGTAGCGGGCACCTTGTTGACAAAAAATTCTTATGCAAATCTCAATGCAAATTAAGAAATACACAAGAAAAGGAACGAAGAAATTATGAGAAACTATGGTAAGTAAGAAAAAAGACTAATGTTTTGCATAAAAAACATTTCCATAATGCAAAAGCCTTTTTACGGCTACTTGGGATGACAAACGGCAACTGAGACTTAAATTTCCAATAAATAATGAGACTCTGCTCAGTAGGATCAGCATAACAAAGGATTCAATGTCAGTCCACAACAGTTGGACCTTCTGAAATTGAACACAACCTCAAGAAATGATGAACCCACCATCACTATCATACAAAAAGTCCCCAGCGAGACTGTACTGTCATTGGAAAATGCATTAAAATATCACAAAGTGCAGTTATTTTTTCTCATGTGTGGCCGACAGTGGCAGACATTAAAAGGAATAGTTTGACATTTTAGGAAAGTAGATGAGAAGATGAGAAGATTGATACCACTCTCATGCCTGTGTGGTAAATACAAATCTACATCCAGTGGCTGATTAGCTTAGCTTATCTTAGCATAAGGACTGGAAGCAGGGGAAGACAGCTAGCCTCCTAGTGTCAAACGGTTTTACCATCTCCAACATTCACACCTAATATCATGTTTGTTTAATCTGTAGACAAAAAGTAATTTTAATATGACAAGAAATATTCCACAATTCAATGCATTGGTTTTTGCATTTCCCCCCTGCCAGTCTTTATGCTAAGCTAAGCTAAGCTAAGCTAATCGTCTGCTGGCTGTGGCTTTATATTTAACAAACAGGTATGAGATTCTTCTCGTCTTACTTTCAGCAAGAAAGTGAATTTCCCAAAACTTTTTCTTTAAAATACAAAGTGCACTTACTTCCTCTCACACATGGCCTCCACTAGCCAACATTAAAAAAAGATTTGTAACAACTTGCATAACACAGAGTTCAAATCTTCAAAGCCCATCCTCCTCATGAATAAGTTATAAATCAAAATAAACCTGTTGTCTGGAACATCTCTACATGATACCCATACTAATAAATGTTAGTTGGCATCAAAATAAGAGGTTTTGCAGAGAAAAACAACAAAACTGTCAGTTCTCCAGTACCAAGAGCTAAACACCGTCTCCTGGTGTGCAACAACATGAGTGTGAAATGATGAGTAAGATTTTTGTTTTGTGTGTATTTGTGTGTAAGTGTGTGTGTGTGTGTGTGTGTGAACCCCCCTTACCCCCGCTTCATCTTGGTGAAATCCACAGCCACCAGTCTGTAGGACATGGCCTTCTCGTTCAGGTAACGGCTGTATCGTCTGATGAAGGTTGACATGTCGTAACCTGGAAGAGAGAAGGAGAGCGTGCTATGTGAGACAGCTACAGATGATTCCTACCATTTGTTACATAAACTGTTTGTTTTATATACATTATACTGTATACTGGCGCTGCGTCAGATGCATTCGAGTCAAGTAATCAACCAAAGACTTTTAAATACTTTCCCTCCATAGTCTGAAACATTTCTCAGTTCTTAGAGGCAAATCCTGCCCATCTGGGTCCTTACAGACAAATTAAAACCAAATCAAAATGCCGTGAATCATCTTCACAGGACTTTTAAAGAGTAAATCATGAATGAGTGTGTTTGTGCTTTACCTTGCAGAGCTCCCTTATCCAGGAAGTTGTTCAGGTTGAACAGAGTGTTTCTGGAGGCCAGTTACTGGATGAAACGCTGAGATGAAAAAAAAAAAAGAAGGAAACTTTAATGTGCAGTTTTGATTAGCGTGGCTCCCAAATGAAATATAAAAGAGCTGGACATTCATAAAACACATGAGCATTAAAATAAGAAGTCAATGTTCTGCCCTTATGTGTTTGGTATCAGATTTTCCTGCCTGACACTGGTGTGGTGTTCGTAACTTAAAATTTGACATATGAATTTCCAGTTACTTTAATTCACCATGGATTTGTTGCATTTTGGAATAAAGTTTTATTTTGGATCTTGAAATTTGTTTGTGGGGGTTGCCTGTTTGAATCCCGGCTGACTGGAAAAAGCTGGGTGCTAGAAGAGCAATGACAGAACAACTAAACACTTCACCCCAAATTTCTCCAGTGGACGTTATCAGCAGCAACAGAAAACATAGTGACAGCTGGTGTAAATGTGTGCAGCTGTGTTAAATGTGAAGCTGAACACTGATGAAAACATGCATGTTCAGTTGAGAGATAAGAGTTAGCAGCCATGCTAACGGCTCTGTGATGTCGTATTTTGGCACAATAGTATTCTAAGCTAAATGCTAACATTAACATACTGTTGTTTTTGCATTTATAATAAGAGAGGTGGCATGCTAATATTTGTTAATTAGCCCCTTTGGCCTCCTGGTGGCGCTGAAGTCAAAGTCAGGGGGACATCAAAGTCAGCAGGATAAATCCTCCGGGGAACATGAATGTCTGTGCTACATGTGCAGAGATACAGCCACCCAGCCAGGGTGGCTATAACCTCCTTCATCCCATCAACAAAAGGTGTTTTTCGCTTATTTGAAAGATAACTGAGAAGGTAAAATTGATCTAGAGAAACACACACGCTCAATGTCTGACAGATGGTAATAGCTTGTGCTCATTAGCCAGCAGCTAATAAGGAAGATTGATATGATTCATCTCTGACATGAAGTTAAGTCTCTATTAAAATGCAGCACACAGACATCTCTGCTGCGCCTCAAACGTTTAATCTCACCAGATGTTTAAAGGCCCAGTGATGATTAAATAATAATTTCATGTTCTTAGAAACTGTCTTTTGTTTTTGTTGTTTTGTTTCAGTTCGCCTTCCTGCAGTGAGGTCAGAGGTCAGCTACAGAAAGAGAAACCTCACAGTGGGTGGGACTTCAGTTTCTAGCTCTTAAAACACCAGCAACACATGTCTTACTACTGCCACCCCTGCTGCTTTAGGTGGTTTAACCTCTACCGCTTGCATCACCCTAAACGGGGGGCCATCTGTATGTTTAAAAATTAACTTTCTTTCCTGCTGTTTTTTGTCCAGTCATTTATTAGGACTCCTTCTGAGTAGCTCACACGCAACTGGAGAGGGAGGACAAATGGCAAGAGGAAGCCGACAGAGAAAAATTAATTAACCTTTGGGAAGAGGCAGAAGATTGGCAGCACAATATTATACATTATTATGTAATAACCCTTTGAAAATGTTAATGAGATCAAATCTAAAGCTAAAACTTAGAGTCCAGATAGTGATGAAAAATGTCATCACTATCATTTACAGACTTTCTGACATCCCTGTTTATATTTGAACATTTTTCCGAGGCTGTGTAACGTAACAAGAAACTTCATCCCTCCATTACTTTCCCGTCCAACTCTTAAAACACTAGCTACTTGTTCATTTTGACGAATCTGAAGTCGCTAAGCAGGTGCTGGAAGCTTTTTACATCCTATTTTCCAGGGAAGGTTTGCTCAGCTTGTCTGCTCTTTTTCCAACACCACCTTTTCCTCGCATGTGTACATGTTCATACTCTCACAACTGGGAGTTGCCCAGGACAAACCCTCTATTTTCTCTTTTACTAAGCAGCTCCTTTAGGATTTATTCTCTTCTTTTGAGAGGTTTTTTTTTTTTTCTTTTCCTTTTTTACCTTGTTTGAGAGCACCCCAACGTTAAGATATTAATGATACGGAGAGCTTTACTTATTCACTTTCTCAAGCCAAGAATTTTCTGGCTGGAGCTGGAGCTTCAGAGCGTATTCAGACCTCTGGGAGGACTACAGTCCCTGAGCAGGTGCTGGTAGCTCATCCATATTTCCAAGTAACTGTCTTCATCTGTCTACAGAGATGGGCACTCAAATTTGAGTAAGCAACTAGCGTTACGAACTAGTACTGCAAATAGGTTACACAGACTGCCACAGAAAGGTGTGTGAGAACAAAACAAACCAAGCTGTGGTAGTTTCAGTAGTGTTCATGCAACCGGTTTTATTATCATTACCTTTGAATTGAAGGACGTCAAAAGGCTTGGGCTTAGAAGAACTGTATTGTGTGAATAATGCGGAAAAATAAGACTCCAACTACTTTAAAGTGTATATGCACCTGCAAAACACATCTACACAGGTGTCAGACTCGATCCTTGAACTCAACTTGAGCTAACTATAAAACAGAAAAGTGAAACTGCTCATTATGTAATGCCAGATTTATTGTTTGTTTGTTAACCTTGTTTAAACAGTGTTTCGGCACATGCTTCATAATTTTAAAGCATCTTTATAGCACCTGTTCTTCTGACAGATGGTATTTGCTGAGCGATGAGAGAGGTTATGAAACAGGTTAGCTTTCTTTTATTGGGCAAAGTAAGCTGCTATTCACTTTGTGTTTTACTTACTGCAACATTACAGTTTACTGTTTATCTTTTACAATACTGTTCAATGGTAAATCTCGTTTTATTGTTGTTTGATATGATTGAAATGTAAGAAGCTAAGCAGCAGCTTGAATCTAATTCTCCAGCTGCTACTATTTACTTCATCACACACTCCAGCTAATATTTCTGACCTCCCGGTCTTGCATTAGCCGTGACCTTTTTCTGTTACTGAATGGTCATGACAACATTTTACAACTGAAAAATTCAGTTTATATGAAGTGATATGTTCTCAGCAATCCATCTGCAATAAAATATCAAACTGTGAGAGAGGCTAGAGCCTTGACACAAACTGTGAACTGATGAGACTTGACACTTCACCTGGTCTCTGCCTCTAAAGACGGGACCTGAACTTGCGTTTTGTCCCTTATGAACGTCTCTGCTATCTCGTCTTCCTCACATCGCTGAATAACAGAGTGCAGTGGAATAAGTCTTGGCCATCGTCCACAGTTTTGGGAACTCAGGCCTCGGGCTTCCCAAAAGCATCTTAACGTTAAGGCTGTCTCTGTCCAGCTGACTTAAAATGATCTGAGATTTGCCAGTTTGCCAATTCCCAATCTGGCAGGGAACCAACCCTCACTGGCTGGTTGGAGCATCTAAGAATGTGTGTGTGTGTGTGTGTGTGTGTGTGTGTGTGTGTATGTCTCTGAGCACAAATATGCTTGCGGGCATGTGTGTTGGATTCAGCTGCACTGACACGTTTCCAAGGGCTCTGGGACTGTTTAAAAAGGCATAAAGAATTTGATTTTGTTGTTGTCCTCTTCTTGTGTGTATGCTAACGCTCTAGGGACAAAACTTTGTTCACACTGTCATACCGTTGGGCTTTAAATCTATGGACAGAAATTTACTCCCCAAAAAGTTAACCATTGATTTTAGAGGTTAAGAGTTTTAGAGTCATGCTTAAGAGTTAGGACTAAAGTTGAAGTAAGGGCTAGGGTGCAGTTACGTTAAAGCTGAGAGTGAGCCTCCAGGAAGTAGGACCGCAACTATAACTTTGATAGTAATGGAAATATAGTAAGTTCAGGACCTTACTGTTTTTACATTCCATTTTCAATTAATCTACTTACCATTTTTTGATTAATTGATTAGTCTATAAAATGTCGAAGGCAGGTCACAAGTTCACGAGCCCATGGTGATGACTTCAGATATAAAATATTCAATCTACAAATCATATAAAGAAAAACTCAGCAAATCACAATCTCACAATAATGAAGCTGGAACCAGCGATGCCATGCTAACAATGGGCTCTAATCCACCACTTTGGTCAGGACTGAAATATTTTAACGATTGGTTGGATTTCCATGAAACTTTGTCCAGACCTTCACGATCCTCTCAGGATTATTTGTGAGAACCTTGGTGATCCCCTGACTTTTCATCAAAGCGCATCATCAAGTCAAAACTTTTGATTTAATGACACTAAAACTAAGATGGAGGCCCCATGGGAAACATCTGTCTTGTTGCTTGATAAGTGACAATTAATTGATTCATTCCTGCAGACTTTCTGCCAATCAACAGATTAATGCATCATTTCTGCTCTGAATATAATGTCCTCAGAAAATATGACATATGTTGGGGTTTATTATGGGGTTAGATGAGAAGCTGTGTTGATAAGGGGAAAAATGTATGCTTCAGGAATTGAGCATTGCGTGACAACTTTGGCATTCTGCCTGTGTCAAAATGAACCCAGGTTAAGACAGAGAAACTTAGACAAGATGGCCACAGATAAAGAGAGGAAAAGAGAGGGAGAGACAGCGAGAAAAAGAGCGCACAAACTTCATACGCTCCCTTTCTCTGCCTCCTCTCGTGTGCCGACTGCTCTCTTCCTCATCAAAAGTCCATCTGACGAGAGCCTGAGTTTCTCCCACAGCCTCAAACACAAAGGCGGAGGCAGAAAGAACCCACACAAAACGCATGGATATAGTTAAAAAGGAGAAAATCTATAAAAGGGGCAGAAACACTCGCCGCAGAGAGAGAGACAGAGAGGGGGAATCAGAAACCCGCTGAGCACTAGATTATTCAATGAAGACGTTCCAAGAAAAAGATGCTGTTCTGAGAGGAGATTCATATTTTGAGAAAAGGTGTAAGTATAGAGGAGGGAAAAGAGGAGAGAATGAGAAGATGTACAGAGATGGGGGGGGGGTAGAAGGAGGTCGGCTCGGCTTGTCAAATAATTCATGTAAGCATATCGGAGAACAACCTCATGTATTATTGATTCATTTAGATCCTGGCCCTGCCTTTCTCAACCTCAACACTGAAACGTAGCTATACATAGAGCTACCAGCATCCGGCTTTCACCCATCCCCGGCCTTCATCCTCCCTCCCTTAGCCTCCGTTTC